TATTTTAATATTGCTTTCTTTTTTATTGTATATTCTTATAGCTCTTGTTCAAACGTTTTCATTTTACTGTGTAGTAAAACTTCTTTTGGTTAAGAATTTCCTAAAATATTTTAAAATTTGTCACGATATTTTTTAATATAAAATATCTCATAAAGATAAAGGATCCAGCTATCTTTAAGACAAGATCGGAAGAGAATTTACTTCAATCAAAAAAAGTTTTATTGTACAGTTCTGAAAACGTTTCAACAAGAACTATAAGAATAGAAAGTTTAAAAAATAGAAAGTTTATATATATATTTTTCTATAGAAGGTTTTATATACATATATATATATTTTTTTTCCTTTTAATCGACAATATTACTACAGCGACATTATTTTATAAAAAGACGCAACTCGAAACAATTTATCTGGTAACTTTTCGTGCCAATAAAATGCGAAAAATGCAATCCTGACTCCAAACTTTCAGTGCGGTTACTTGCCGTCGCGAGCAAGATAATTAATCTTGTTCTTGATGTCACAGCTCGTTATTTATCAACTGCGTTCTGTCGTTGAGAATATATTCCACGTTTAATCGACGCTTATACACGAAGATCGATTATCTGCAGTCATAACGTCTGACAGACTAATTAATTGGCTATTAACGATCCGATACTTAATTTGCGCGCCCTTTCTAGTCGCGCTTCGAAACGTCGGCAATCTCCGTCGGTATGGTGTTTGCCGTTGAAAATTATTTATCTCTCTTACCTTCTTTTTTGTAATCTTCTCACTTTGTTGATTCAATCTAAATGTGAGTTAGACACACATTTAACCGTGTCATATCTCATATTTAACCGTATCATACTTTTTCTCGGTTTTCACGCATCTTTTCTTTAAAAAAAAAAAAAAAAAACTACACAGCTACTGTTAACTATTGTTAATTGAAAAGACAACAAACACCATTTATGCGAAAAGAGGTTCTAATAGACTCTATTTAAATTCATAGTCGTGAAATGTACCTTGAAAATCAATTCGAGCTAGCTTTGGGAAACAACGTTTCGAATCGCACACAACTGTGAAACCGGAACGTGATATAGGAGAAACTATTTGTTAGGTGTCACTTTACGGATATCAATGTCTATGATGGCACTACACAATTGTGGTTGTACACATTGAGCCGAATTAGACAATATTGTCGGCATCGCTTTCGGATTAAGAAACGAGACACAGTAGCAGCGTATAAAATCGAAGGAAAACGAAGAAGGGGGTTGTGAACGGGGTAGATTATTTATGGCATAACGGTGTTCGCTACTGCTGGATATAGGCGGATCGAGGAGAGCAATTTGCATCTGTTTGCGGGTTCTCGCCTCCGCCCACTTTCGCGCTGGCTCATCAGAGAGCGATATATATCGTTCCTCTTTCACGCCCGCGTACCAGCCGATCGTCTTTTTACACACCCGGTTCGTCATTACCGTCTTTTGGCGTACACTGTCCGATACACCACCTTTTTATCACGCGAAATTATTAAGCCGAGTATAGCAAACAGAATTTTTTCGAAGCTATCTGCATTCGGCCGGAAATCAATATCTCTTTTCCACAGTACGTCGAACTCTTTATACGCGACACACTCAATTTGGGGAGTGAGATCTCTGAAAATTGATTGTGAGGAAAGGTCTAGGTCTTTCGGTAACTTTTAAGATCTCTTTCATTTTCGTCCATTTCTCTCTTCGCGGGTAAGGAAACTACAGTTCGGAGACTACATACTGTATGTGGTATTTGTGCAGTCTTACCTTTTAAAAAACATATTCACAATATTGTACAAGAGTAACGGCGGAAGTAAAAAAAAAGTCAATTTATCGGGTGAAAAAAATCGGTATTTCTTCTAAATAAAATAGACAAAAAAAAAAATAAAAACAAGAAAAAATACACCAAAAAAAGAGTCCATTGTTTCTGACAATGGACTATCTTATTGATGCTTCATTAATGTTTATGAACGTTCTGTTTATTCTTTCTTCTGCGTTTGTCGCAAACGGAAAACAGGCCAAGGAGGAAAGTCTTTTGATACAATTTTGAGAAGTGTTGACGCGGTGGAAGGGAAAGAGGAAAGCAGAGGGCGTAACACGGGGTGACAGAAAAAGCTACTTTACAATAGTTCCTTGAAGTGTACAGGCGACGTCCCGTTGTGCAGGTCAGAGAAACACTTACACATAGACGCACTTCCTGGTGCTTCGTGTTCATCTCTCACGAACGTTGAATTTTTCACGTAAAAGGCAGTTTTCGTGTCTAGAAGCAGAATCGAACTACCACATGCTGTTCTTGTGTCGATGAAGTGGGATCAAGGTTACTGCCTTTTAGTGATTCGTGTCGAGAACCACAACTGATTCATATTGATTTATTCTGTGGCACGAAGAAGATAATGTAACCCAACTTGTAAGAGAAATATTACGTCGCCAAGGGGTGAATACTCGAAAATTTATCCGGAAGATCGTGAGAAACGTGAGATTTAAACAAGATTTGATCTGTACTTAAACAATATTTTAAAACTGAATTAATAAATTACAGAATATATATTTACTGGAACGGTGTTTGGAGTTACCCTATTATTTAAGGTGGTTAATTAGCAAGGGAAACCGACGATCGATCACCGCCTTACGTCATCGTCGCGGCTATTGTGGTCGCATCCTGTTTCCAGTCGTGCACCGTCATTTCCCCGATAATTCAGAATACGGGGGGCCCTCTGGAAGAGGGAGGAAAAAAGCGAGAATCCTGAAGTAATTCGCAATCATGCGTGAACAGCTGACACTGGAGATTAGGTAAACTACGCGTCTTGCGCTATAGCGAATTTGCGCTCGAAATCGCTTTAACTTATAACGTCTGAAAACGCGCAAGAAGTGCGCAAAATGTGCTTGTGCGATGACGCCGCAGACAACTGGACAACGGCGACGGAAGATCATGCCGATTTTCTCCCATTACCTTAATTGAGTGCTCCACAAACGAAGATGTGTCCCGTTGCGCGATGGACAAGCATCATTTACTACGCTCAAGACAGTTTTAAACGCGCGATACGACTTTAACGCCCGGACTATGCTGCCGATACTTGAACTGTTTTATTAACTGTTTTATTATGTAAGAGCAAAATAAGATAAAAGAAGATTCGACGCTTAGCCACATACAATGTGGTGAGTTTATGCTAGAGCAATAAATAAACACATCTTTCCTTTCAGTCTTCTCTAGGCTTTCGTAAATCGTACATGTTTCTCGAGGAACAGTTTCTCGCTTCTCGACGATTTTCGCAAGAGAAAATTTGAATTTCTATCTTTATATATTGTTTTCTAGAATATATATACAGGGTGTCCCAGAATTGGTTTAACATCTCTCATACACAGGTAAAAGGAATAAAACTGAGGTGAAAAGTTCTATACCATTTTGCTAGATTTGCAATAGTTACCGAGATTTTAAGTAACAAAAGTCCGCGAATAAGCGTGCATCAGGCTGTCTTACGCGCGTAGGACAGCCCGGCGCGCTTCACACAATTACATTTTAACCTTTTCGCTCCGGGACTGGTCCATATATGGACCAGCAAGAAAAGCGAACGTAATAGATGTTTATAAGGTCAATTTAATGCACTAAATTTAGGAAAAAAATTGAAAAAAATCCTGGTTACTTCTTTGACCTTCAAAATTAACTTTGAAAGGGGGGGTAGCAGGTTATTATTAACTTTTTCAGCTAAAATACGAGGTCAATTTTAAAGGAAAAATCCCCGGAGCGAAAAGGTTAATATGTATATGTTATAGTATATGCTGTTATATTAGCTCCTCCCATATATCGCTATGGGTAACACCGTTAGCGCGCGAAACGCGGCGGGCAGTCTTACGCGCGTAAGACAGCCCGATGTATGCTTATTCGCGGATCTTTGTTAATTAAAATCTCAGTAACTATTGCGAATCTAGCAAAATAGTATAGGACTTTTCACCTCAGTTTTATTCCTTCTACCTGCCTACGAGAGATGTTAAACCAATTCTGGGACACCCTGTATATACACAAATACTAACTTTGATAATATTAAATTTCGCGCAAGTGCGTTTTTCAAATGTTTTACTTTATAAATAAAAAAGTTGAGAACCACTAATTGCGTGTTAAAAAGTATCAATTTTTATGCAAAGAAGCAATCTCTCTTTTTCTTCAAAATTTTATTGAAAAATATCAAGTGGTTCAAAAGTTAAACCGGTTTTTTTTAAATATCGCAATTGCTCGAAATTCCACAAATTTTTCCTGGCTCCGCGTAAAGTTTGCTCTAAAAGAACCGGCGCGAAGGCTGTATTCAAATATAATCGGCGCCGAAGGAAACCGAACGCTCTGTTCTCGCACTGTTTAAAAGAACAGCCTAATAGTTCTAGATTTTGTTTTGTGGAATGTTAACGAAACGTTTCGATATAAAAATGACACTAACGTGGTTCAAATCCGAAAAACATCTTTGAATGTTAATACAACACGCCGCGAAAGCATCAAATGTCAGATTATCCTAAAATCTCTTATTTTATCTCTTTTTTTTTCTTCGCTCACCTCAAATTCGATTAATATTATCCGAATCTTGATTTTATTGATTCCGCGACTAGATGAAACAAAAGGACTCGGTGTGTATCACGATACGAGACGCGGAAAACAAACGGGTTTGCACAACCAGTGCATGGTGCGCGATCGTAAAAGCGCGGCTGTAAAGTCGAAGAGGGGGAGCATCTCTAGACACACTACGGGGCGTGAATCGTAGGCGGGGCGAGAGAACCTGATGTTCTGCGATTGGTCGTTGGCAAGAACAAGCGCCAGTGCGGCCTGTTGCTTTAAGAACGTACTGCCTCGCTGTGTTTTATCGAGCTTGGTTTGCACGGGGGAAAAGCATTTAGGCGACGTATCCCACCGAAACCCCACTGCTCGGGAAGAACTATCTGGTGTTGCAGGTGGTGGGGAACGAGTGACCGGCCGTTAGTTATCCCAGCACCTATCTCCCGGAGACTTAGTAGAGATCTGCAAGTTGGTCCGACGAGAGTTAGCTTGACAGAACGGCGGAGGTAGAACAGTTTTAGTCCTTTGCTTCAAGGTTTTCTTATGTGTCTGAGTCCAATGGTTGCAACGTTTTCACAAAGTTTCGGATTCCAGCCCACGGATTTTAATGGCAACGAATTCACCAGCCATATGCCAGAAGCTCAAAATCTAGGGTGGTCTCAATGCTGTAATGAAGTTAAAAATTACTGTATGTTTGTAAACAATTGGTGCACTCTTTCTGTGTTTTGTTTCGCGATCGCCGAAAGTGACTAAACGTTTGTAGATTGTGAGATTGTCGAGATAGGAGAACAGCTACGGTGTATATGATAATGTCGTCTTTAACGGAGGGCGTCAGTGAAATGAGGTGGTGAGGTTTTATGCATGTTCAATGTTGGAACGAACTCTTGGGTTATTTTGTAGTGAGTCGACTCGGCTGATGAGATGGTTACCAGTCTCTCGATGATGCGACCATGCTTCACTGGATATTCTTTTCAAGGTGTGTCTTGCGCTACTCCCAACATATGTGTTCTTTTTCGCGTAAAGCATGAACGCTTACGGAGTTTGTATTCGAAATTTTGGATTGACGTCAAATGTCCTTTGTCAAAGTAAAAAAAAAAAACTGATTAATATATTTTAATTCAATTAAAACTGAAATTTGTTTCAGTGCCATTTTGCAGAAACATCGAGATGATAATTTGCAAATAAGTTTCTGTTTTTATTAGTTACTTCTTTAATTCTAGAATGGTTTTGTGGTCGAAGAAATAATGTGTTCATATAATCCGATCCTAAATATATAAGATATAACCTACCTACTATATAAAGGCCTCGATAATAATCTGCGAAATTTTTTTACGTGCTTTGCCTGAAAAAAAAAAAAAAGAAAAATGGCGTCGTTTTGCGACGCTTTTATCTCGTAGCTTTATATTGTGTACGATACCATTCAAAGTTGATACATTCACAAGGTCCTCTGTTTGACGGTTTCAATGCTTTTCAAAATACGGGCTTCTAAAAATAGTCTTTGATACTGTTGATGTATCAATTTATAAACAGCTCTTTGCAATTTGGCAAAAAATAAAATACAAAAAGAGCTTGGTGTTAAGTTTTTAAGAATATTTCTCATTAAAGCCGTGTGCAGTGTGATAACTATTTTTTTTATTTTTATTTTCCTTGAAATGTGTCCCGAGAGAAACACGGCTCTCTCATCGGCCCCGAGACCACCTGGGATAGATTTTCTATAGAAAGCAAAAAAAAAACCAAATAATGTAGAAGTAACAAAAATTTCATCTACTTAAAATATGTTTCCAAACCTATAAATTATGCTGAAGCAGTTTCTGGCAATAAAAAAAAAAAAAAAACGGTACCGTTAGCTCAAAACTTTTGCAGAAGGACAGATTTTGACGGAACGAAAGTGCGGGGCTTAAATTCGAACTTATGTGCAATCTAAGAAAGGTTTATGGCTGTAGTTATAGCTCACAGTTTGTGTCTGAATGTCTCTTGTGTATCCCGACAAACACACGATTCTTTTTCTTGGTTCTCATTGTAAAGATTCCTCTATCCGTCAAGGTCGCAACTACTAATTATTTGTGCATGTTGCGTTTTTTTCTAGACAATAGACACAAACAAAGCGAGCGCCAACAAAAACATCCATAGGACATGTACATTTTCTAATTATGATTTTTCTATATGTTACTTTGAAAAACATCTTCGAGACAAAATAACGTAATGAAATGACAAAGTGCGTCAACGAAATGACGCAATTTGTCAGTGTCCGAGACCGCGCTGCGTTCTCGAGAATAATTAGCGCGAGTAATTAGTCGCTTGATGATTTACCAGTTGGAAACGTGACGGGAAAGAGCGCGCCCACGGGAATTCGCGGCTATAAATGATGGCGGACGATTAGCAACTCAACAAATCCGCTTCTGTAAAATGTCCGTAAAACAAAAAAAAAAAAAACAGTATTCGATGTTGGCTGTTAATTACTTTATCGTTAAACACGGAATTTTTTCCGTCTCGCAATTCCGTCATTACAATGATTTATGATGACACGCGCCGCGATTTTTTTTCTTTTCACGAAAAACACGGAGCTTTTCCCGTTTCTTCAAAGCACAGTTCGAAGTAGCATGTATACGGAATGCGCATGATAGATGTTGAAAACTCTTTTTTAGTTATTTGGTCAACGTATACTTACCTGGTGCATCCTAGACAACTTTCATTTTTGTGCCGACGAAAAGGAATTCGGGGGTGAGTTTCGCTACTGATGAGTTTCGTAATGACGCCCATTCTTTTAGATTAAATTGTCTAAAAAAAGTATTTTATCGCACGTAAAACGATAATCTAATCGATAGCAGTTTGCTGCCTCAGTAGAATCTGCATTCTTCGGAAGTCAACAAGGTTGACATCATCAATTTAGAGTCATAGGTATTAGCTTCTCTTCCCAATTTCCCAATTCATATTGGAGATTCATTTTTTGGCAGTGTCTTTGCGAACTCATTTGTCAATTAAACAATCGACCGCGACTCAAAAAAAAACAGCTGCATTTGTAGAAGTTCTCAGGTGGACATAGAGTTTTTCGAGCTCCCGATTGCACCCGCGGCGATGCATGCTACGCGGTTATGCAAGCGCCTCTGCGCAATCGAGAATAGCGGTTTCCTTTTTCTACGGACGCTTTTTGCCGGCCACGTTAGTCGAAGTCTGTTTATCCTTTGTCTTTACGCGACACTGTGTTTTACACGGAAATGCGTTTAATTGCAAACGAAAGCGTGCGACCGTATTCCATGCTTGTCGTCTCTTTTCACGACCAACAGCGACGATAACAACGGCGTCGTTAATTTTCATATTTGTTGCTCGCGTCGCAAATGTGAAAGTGCAACAATATACATTATTTATCACGTTCTTGTGCGCCCGCGAAAAAATCGCGATCACAGACCGTTTTATTGGATATTGAACGCGTTTTACTTATTAGGCGACGCTTTGCACCCGAGATCGGAGAAGTGAAAGCTGCGGAATCGATCATCCGCTTCCTTCTTGCCTCTCTAAATAGATTAACAATTTGCAGTTATAGGTGAACGCTAAGCCAACGAGATTAATTCAATCTGCGTTCACTGGTGCAAATACTGCTCACGTCTTGTGTGCGCTGTATTTGATTGCTTATCAAATTAATTACATGTGTATATTTATTCTTTTATCAATCTGGTATAGAATGTACGAGAACATAACGGGTTTATAAGTTTTATGAGATTACAAAAAAAAAAGTTTTACTGTTTTTATGCAACTTCGGAGTGTTGCACGACATATTGGACGAATTGTTCCGTAATGTTATAGTCGTGTTTTTCATATTAATTTCTTCATAAAATTTTTCTTTTGATGATAAATAAAATTCAAACTTGATACTAACGGTTTTTAATGTTATATAAATTGAAAAAGTACATTAAATCATGTTTTTTCGTGCTCATCGATTAATTCACTGACTTATAAGCGTTCAGAATCAATAACAAACGATCATTTCATGAATTTTACCTTCATGTAGTCATTTTTCATGACACATGACCAATGTTGCTGTTAATAAACAATGTTTAATTAACGATCTTCTGACAAAAAAGTATTAAAGAAAATAAGTCAATATTGTTTCAGCGTCATATATATATATAACATACAGAAGCAGTTTAATTTTGTATGTTTTCTATGTGTGCGTCTTTAGAACATATTAATTTAATGTTCTACTGTGATGATACATAATGTTGAATTTATACGTAGAAATTTAATTCACAAAAATATTTTTATTAAAAAATGTCTAATAATAATGCTTGTTACAGTCATAATTTCTTAATCAACTTGACGTTGTATATTACGCAACTATTCAGCAACAAAGCTGTATTTCATTTTGTATTTGAACTTTTACGAGTTTTACAGTACAATACTGTGTTTATTTTTTTGCAAAAAAACACACGTAGTTTATTTTCTGAATATTTTTTCGATAAGTACGTTTATAAGTTGCGTCTCAATTTATAGACACATCAAAATGTATTAAAATGTAAATTTTATATTTAAGTTTTTTTCTATCTCTTAGTATCTCCATACAATTATATGCATTTTTTTTTTTTTGTAGACTTTTATACATAGAAACATCTATCAAGGCCATTCTGCGCGTTCTCTCAGAAAACATTGATTTGAGTCGATTAGCATGTGAATAAAATATCAGAAGTTAATAAGTTGATTACGTACATAATATGTCGTAACTGAAATAATAGGAGTGACTCTCCGCTAACGAGGGTAACGCCAATCTCCGTCTCGCCTGGACGATCTGATTTTTCGTTGCGCTGTCATTGAGATTCTCTTTTTTCGCGCGATTATCGCACCTCTCGCAAAAGCGAGAGAACGGTTTTTCTTCCATATCGCGCAAACGTGCGATTGTGTCTTCTTTTTGTTCGTGGTTGTACGGCGCATTCGCGCGTCTCATTATTCTCCCGGTGAGATCGTAGACTCTTGTCCTTCTAAATGTGTGTGTGACTGATAGATACAATATGGTTGCATGAATATATTAAAACGTAGTATACAATGAAAGAAATCTGCGAGAAAAAAAAAATAAATAATACACCAGTAATCCGACAATTTAACTTGCAGTGTACATTACGGCTTGTGTAGTGCGTTATTTGTTGTTCCTTTTTTAAAGTTTGCGTTAACGGCTACGCACCCTGAGCCGCAGTCGGCAGTAAAAATTGCTACGACTCTATTTCCTAGAGCGCGCGTTCCTCTTTCTTTAGATCGGGGCCGAGATCGTCATCGTGTAACGCGAAATTAAATAAGCCAAGCAAATTATACGCTATCATTGTTGTGCGTCGTAAACCGCACCGGGATTTATTGGACTTATCGGTAGTTACTGCGTTGTCGCTCCGTTCGTGTACTGCAACGTATTCGCCTGCGCTCTCTCTCCTACGCTCTTTTCTCACATATCTTGTTCTTTCTTTCTTTTCCTTCTTCTTCTTCTTCTTCTTCTTTCTCCTTCTTCGCTTCAAGAAAATAAGAGAAAGAAGTCGAATCGAGCACGCGGTGTGTTGCGCGCGATAAATCCAGGCTACCCTCTTTATACCGCCATCCAATAATCACCACACTGCCCTGTCGCACTCCGCGAGCTCCGACCTTCTCTCTCTTTCTCTTTCACTTCCGGTAGGTACGGACATGAAAGCCGCCCGATGGATTTCTCAATCACTGCTTCTGAAAAAGGAATAATTTCGATAGAATTAGTCATAATGAAATCGCGTGCGCGACACAGTAAACTGTGCCTGTTACAGATGTAAGCTCGATACCGGGCCAGGGGCGTGTAAATCAGCTCGGAGGACTTTTCATCAATGGACGACCGCTACCTAATCACATAAGACTGAAGATCGTCGAGATGGCCGCGGCGGGAATCAGACCGTGTGTCATATCGAGGTATAATTATGTACTTAGTAAAACAATTTTTTTAATACAATTAATTTGATTGTTATCCCTTACGTTGCTCAAGGCAATTTTGAAAGTTTGTTGTCAGAATAAACTGTTGGCGTTTTTTAAGCGCTCAACTGGTGCTAGAAACACCTTCAGACTGTCGGTATTATTGATATTCACAGATTTTTATATTAATGCGGTGTAATTCAGTGTTTCGACGACTTTTACACTTTCTAAAGAACTTTTACACACTTTGCGTGCCAGCGAAAAGTTTCGCTGTCTGTCACGCGCATCAGATTTTGCCGCAGCGAAAGGGTTAATAAAGCATGTAATATTTCATCAAATTGATGTCCGAGATAATAGAAAATTTCTCGTGAGAGCTGTTAAAACATTTTACGAATTGATGATAAAATAAAGCAAAAATTTGTTTCCCAAACGAATAAAGCACATACGTAAAGCAAAACTTCTGTTCTCTATGCAATGCAAATTATCAGACAACTCAGGGTGTCGCATGGATGCGTGTCGAAGATTCTTAACCGATATCAGGAAACCGGAAGTATCAGGCCGGGTGTCATTGGGGGGAGCAAACCGCGTGTGGCCACACCAGAAGTAGAGGCAAGGATTGAAGAATACAAACGTGACAATCCAGGTATGTTCTCATGGGAGATCAGAGATCGGCTGATCAAAGAAGGCGTTTGTGACCGGACCAGCGCACCGAGTGTGTCCGCAATTTCTCGGCTGCTCAGAGGTCGCGACTCCGAAGACGACGTCAAAGTTGGTGATGGTAAGAGTCGTTTGGAACCGGAGAAAATACGACGCGGTAATTGATTTTGTTACGCGAACTACACGATTAACTGTCGCGTCGCATTTTCTTCAGTTCCAAACATCTCTAGCATAGAAGAAGTAACATATAGAAAATATAGTGATTAATGCGCTCGAGTTTCCGCTGAAACTCCGAATTACTTGTCTATTTTTAAGTTTTTCTAAGAGATGTAAAGCGACATTCTATCTCTGTCATATCATTATGCCGAGCCACACAGAACCTTACATTTGCTGCACTTTCTATTAAATCAAAAGAAAGAAGAATATTAATTTTGATAAGCGCTATACGTAGCGCTCTGCGTGGTCTCAGCATTAAAATATAAATAGGACAACAAAAATCCGTCACAAAAAAAATAAGCAAGAATTTTGACAAAAGTTTTAAGAAAAATACGGTAAAAAAGGCAAAAAGAAAGAGAACAATGGGAGGAGAAAGAGAGTTCTTCAAAATTTTCGAGATTGCCGCTAATGTAGGCGGTAAGTTTCTGGAACAAAGTCCATCCGCCCTCTCAACTCCGCCCGAGTTTCTTCTCGTGTCCTAACGGAGATTGATGATCGCCGGCGAATCGGTCCGACGCCGAGTATCCTAGCACGGAATTGGATTATAACGACATCGACTGATATAACCGAGCTGTGGCCGCTCGTTACGCGACGCCTCTTAAAATTGAATCAGAAATTTTTTTATGTTTTTTTACAAGTAAGTGTCGGTACAGTGACGAGAGGCGCGATTTCATAAAAATTTATATCGCATACTGCAACTCGCGCAAGAATAGCAAAACGAGCAAGGAGAAGATTGCTTGGCACAGCACATTTTATACTGTCATGGTAAATGGCGTTAGGTACGCGAACGGCGTAAGAACTTGACGAAAATAATAATCTTGGTTGAAAATCACATTTGCTGAATTTGCAAAAATGTTATTTCTTACTCTGGTGAATTTCACTTCTTCGTAACAATAATGTGCTTATTTTCAAAATAATTATTTTGCAGTTGACAGTTCCGTCTTGTTCGCAGAACAAGACATGATATTTTGCAAAGAAATTTTTCTAAGCAAAAAGTTTAAAAAGAACAGATTTTACCCTGATGCCAAGTAATTAATAACTTAATATATAGTTTTTTTAATTAAAAAATTGTAAAGCTAATAAGAACCAACGCTAAGTTAACAACAATTCAAAAACTGTTTGACTTTTCCGATTTTCTTTGACGTGCAGAGGTGCATCGCAAAATTACCAGAATGTCTATAATGATATATTATTCGTAAAGAAGTCGCAGAAAAATAAAGATTTCATTAGTAGTAGTCTTATATATTACTTTCACACAACAAAAAAAAAAGCGCGTGCAAATATAATAGAGTATGAAAGTGTTCTGTGAGAAACAAGATTTTCTCTCCTTTTTTTTTTCTTTTACATGAGTAAGATGTCAATATGTCACAAATCTGTTACCTTTATGATTTCCTTACCTGAGCGGGGTAAAGAACTCTTTTGGTAGACGTTCTCGAATGAAAAGGAACTAGTCTTGTTGAGAGAATTTCGTTTTTTTTTTCGTGCTCGTAATTTTTACTCATAGTATATTTTTACTCATTCCGACAATGTAGAAACTTTGTTGGAATTTACTGACTATGAGTACTCTTAGAAAAAGCATGCTTTTTAGGGTAAAAATTACGAGCACGAAAAAAAAAAAGCAAACGGGAATGAAATGCTTCCGGGAAGTAAAACGTAAATTGTTCTTTCGGAACTTTCGTTATTCGTTGTCAAAATTTATGTCCTATGACGCTTTGAGGAAAGGAAACTATATACATCGATACGAGCACAACACGCGTACATACGATACATACACCTACCGCTGACCCACTTGATCTTAACACGAGCCCAGAGGATACGACCGATCTCGTGCAGTGAAAGGACCTCGAATCCGCGACACGCCCTATCACCTGGCCCACACGTCGGACCACCGTGTGGGACTCGCGCGCTCCGCACGGCCCGAGTGAATGAGTTAAATTAAATGCTCGCGTATTAATCGGCCGCGCGCCCGTGTTTCTCGGTCTCGGAAATTGCCGGTTCGCCTACGGTGCGCCGCCGTCGGATCATCTCCCTCCGGTAGCTGGGCCCCGGTTCGCCGGACTCTGTAATTTTCTCGCCGCCCGGTACATACATGCCCACGTGTGCGCGCCGAGACCCGCACGTAAGATGTGGGCCTCGTCCCGCGTAAGCAAGCATCAACGGTCCTTCGAGAAAATCGACGGCCGATTGAAGGACGCGAGTCTGCCGACTCACCGATGAGTCGGAATTCCCTTCTCTTCGCGATTTTGCAACAAGCGTGTTAAAAATGCAAATAATGCAATAACGTTTGAAAAAGCAAATTCAAGGAAAAGGATTTAATTGTGTATAACACAGAAGAACACGCACACGATGTATATCGTGCGCAATCGTTGACGAAACTTAAGACGGTTTATGACAGTTAAATGCAGTTTTTTTTTTTATTGAGAAATTTCCCTACGTCAAAAAAGACTGAATATCAGACTAACGTACGTCTGACACTTGAGAAAAATTCTCACGAAATTCGAACACGAGCCGACACTCGGAAGAAGAGAGGAGGGTTGTTTCCCCCGTCTTGCTGACAAGACAAATGAAATGTGTACAGACACAGACTCATCCTGAGTTCATCTGAGAAACCGCTAAGTCGGCGAAGATAAAAGAGAAGAGACGGTTGAACGTAGAATCCCCGTGGCTGTAAGTCGATCGTTTTGTCGGCCGAACGCGCCCGTCAGAAAAAGAGAGCGAGAGAGCAGTGGCAGAAATAACCCTGACCTTGCAGAGGGTGTGAAACGAAAAGGGATATCACGCACACATTACGCCCCGTACACATTCGCGCGGTATAAAACGCAAGAGAACTCGCGAATTGTGTCGTTCGATTTAAAAAAGCGATGCGTATGCGACTTTTAAATGCGCCACACGCAGGAACGCGAGTTGTGCCACAACTCGAAAAACCAAAGCTCGTCGAGATAAACTGAACCTTTTTTACTTGGCGTATCAAAAGTTGTCTTGTGTTTTCCTCCCGAGTGAAACGTGTCGCGCACGATGTGAGTATGCGGCGTGAAAATGACAGATCCAACTGAAGATAATTGAAATTCTCTGAAACGAACAAACGATCTGACACTTCTCTCATACTGAGAAATAATCAAATTTTACGAGCTGTTTGTTAAATTTTAATTTAACAAAATTTATCAAATTTAAATTTGTCGAATTCATACGCCAATTCGTCCCGGCGCAAACGCAAAGCTCAATTTTAATTTATGTATATAACGCGAGTATATAACAAGTTTTTTCGAGTTATTACACGGGAGAATTTTTGCGCTACTTCGGATTTTTGTACGATGATGCGCGTGATCCGCGCGTGAATCTCAGAAAAATCAGAGCAGAAATTATATATCTCTCTCGGACCTAAGCGTTACGGCCGATGCGAATTCCCGAAGTTTTCGAAACCCCGATATTAGCCGCGGGGTGAATGATTGCCAGGTTTGCTGAGCAAGTGTGTACGAAAAACAAAGTCGCCGTGGTAATTCGTCGTGTTGCACGCAATAATATTTTTGTGTCAATGAAACGCGCGTTGGCCGCGCGCATGAATAAAATCTGTGCTTCGAGATCATCGTAAAACGTGCTACAAAATATATGTAAGAACGCGCTAACACGAATGATGTGAATTATTTATGACGAACTTTACGATGCGAAAGACGATGTATAAAATATATTTGAAAGAACACGATTTTAAATCGCTGCGTAATAATATTTTCGAAATCAGTGTTTCACTTGACGTCTGCATGAAAGAAAATCTATTGTCGAATGTGTTTTATTTTTATTTGCCTCCCTCTCTCTCTCTCTCTCTCTCTCTCTCTCTCTCTCTCTCTCGAGTAAGATACTCACATTTCACTCTTGCAATTCGTCGGAAGGAAGTGATTACCTACAAAATCCTGGCGGCACATCGTCGCGGAGCTATTTCTGACCTTCATCGCACGTGGACGCGGATCCGATCGTGGCTCAGGGTTGTTGGACTACGTCGTCGCCCGCACTATTTCTATCCGCGCGCGGATAGGTGCTGGTGAATTCGTGAAACTCTTGACGAACAGGAGGAAAGGGAAGAAGTGGATGAAATGACCCGGTGGCGGAGGCGGTTGGAAAAAAAAGCACGACGACAGGCCGGGAATAGAGTCCGTGTCGAATTTGCATTAACGCGGCCCGTCCTGGCGTCAGGCGTCGTCGCCCGATTAGTCGCGCGCCGTCGTAAACTCGAGAGCTCACGAAACCGACGACAATCCCGAAATGCATCGCGACGGATCGCATTGCGGAGCGCACGCGGAAGTACACAAAAAGTACTCCCACTGTCTTCTACGTCCACGTGTCACGTGCCTGTTCCCGGTTTCCCACCGTAAATATATAACAAAAGAACCGTTTATATCTTTGAACGACAACTGAGTGCACACATAAATTTGTATGTAAAAGTAACGAGTTTTGTAAAAATAGAGAATACAGAAAAAGTTTTTATAATAACTAAAAAATTTAAGAATCAACGAAGATTTGAGGCTCTTGAGATTTTTTAAAATCGACAACGCGAAGTTTAATCGAAAGCGAGAGATTCCAGATTCGACCTCTTGGTCGAAGTGGTTTTTTCGCAATATTTTAAAATTAGATAGGAAAATATATGAGCATTTATATCATATACGAAATGCGAATATAGCATCCTATGTGCAAACAAATTGAAATTTCAATTCAAAATTTACGTGTAAAACTTACACAAAAAAATACAAATATATATCTTGCAACATTCAGCGTAGGGTCTTATTGACCGGTTAAACTTCGCGTTGTTGATTAGAAAATTTAAAATGTTTATATTAAATTATAATGATAATTATATGCTTCAAAATTAAACGCAAGATATAAAAGAAACAAAGGTGTATAAGAGAAAATATTACGTAAATTTACAAAAATATGTTAAGTGTTGTTTATTTTTTGTAGTGTCATTATTTGATTTATTTTTTTCAAAATAGTACTTGAAATTTCTTTTTGTTTTACCACGCGTATACTTATTTACACTTATTCTTTTTAATATTCTCGCGAATATTTTTTTCAAATCTGCAAATCTTTCAAAACTAGAAATTCACCTGAAGTCCCGTAAAGACGGATCGTAAACAATTTATATTGCTTTGTTCGCAGTTTGTTCTCGCCAGAACCATCACGTAAACGTCAAAGGGCACCGCGCGAGTTTGGGTCAGATGCTTATTTCACACTCGGTCGACGATCAGATGTTTGAACCCGCACAATCTCCCTCTCGGTGTTTTTGTCGAACCACATTTTGTCACTCGTTCATCGTCACGTATGATTGTTTTACGCGATTTCTTTGTCGCTCGAAAGCTAACGACTCAACAAATGTTTCGTAATTATTTCATGGCCTAATCGCGCAATCCTTTCCGCCGACCCTGAACGGGAAAATCAATTATTTAATCGTCATAAAGAAGTTTCTCTGCAATTGCTGAACAGATTATTAATTTATAATAATAAAACTGTATTCTTAATCTTCGATTTAGCGTGGAATCTTGTGCGTAAAAACATTTAACATTTCTTTCTGAGTCTTTAAATTTTTATTTCGTACGAAGAAAAAGAAAGAATGAGAAAAAAGAGAAAAAAAGATGAGAGAACGTGAAAGAAAAAGAGAGAATGCAATTTCGAAATTTTTCTCTTAATCGTTTTCTTTCACACCGCGGAACTAGCATGCGCGGTATTGTTTCTTCTTATTCTATTTCTTTCAAATCTTACAAAATTTTCATGGTTTATTTACGACAGAAATTATTTTTCAATTTAACGATTACAAACAAACGTTTGTATTACGCTAATAAATATTTTAACAACAAAAACACAGAAAAACTGCTAGTTTGCCGTTAGCTATTTGAGCGTTTAGTTTACGTAAAAATAACGGTTTTATTACATTTAGATAAAATGTGTCAACTGCAAATAATAATTATTTTCTTTGAGAGAGTACATGGAGGAAAAATAGTGTTTATAATTATTATTTTATGGCTTAATCGATAAGAACAAGAAATTAAATAGAATAAAAACAACTGCATTTTTATATGGAAAAATAAAATATTCTTATCTTTATGTAGAAGAAAAACAATATTCTTATAAAAAAAAAAATTTCCAGAAACTAGAGATATACAGCAAGTTCTTAACATCCATCATTGCGATCGCTGCTATATTGTCATTCATTCGTTGACTGATGAGCTTTATCAAGCCTGAAAAAAAAACGCGCTGAAAACAAAAAACAAATTTCGAATAATTTGATGTCGACGTTGGTAGTTAGAACTGTGCATTGAATCTATTTGAAACAATTTTCTAAACTGTACTTCATGTAAAATATCGATTTATTTTACTTGGCGTCAGTAACCAGAAAGAAAATTAGAAATTAGTAGAATAACTTTTGTTGCGAACGAATCCATACGTTTTTTATTACAATCACGTTTTGGTTCTGGCTTCTGAGTCAATTTTGTCTTCTGAATCTCTCGTGTAATATATTTTTTGTGTGATCTTTTATTTTAAGGAAAAACGAGTTCTGGATCTGATTGCGACAGCGAACCAGGAATTCAGCTGAAAAGAAAACAACGCAGGAGCAGAACGACGTTCACAGCTGCTCAACTTGACGAATTGGAACGAGCTTTCGAGAGGACTCAGTATCCTGATATATACACTAGAGAGGAACTCGCTCAGAGAACTAAGCTGTCAGAAGCTCGTATTCAGGTGTGGTTTAGTAATCGAAGAGCGAGAATGAGAAAACAGTATTCTTCAACGAGTTCCGGTGGATACGTTCCGTATTCGACTACTCCGTTTCTTCCACCTCATCCAAACGCGACACATTCGCATCCTCATGCTCAACCTTTGCCAAATGCAGCTTTTCCTTCCAGTCAAGGTGAAGTGTAATAATCTTTGCTTAAGTCAATTAATTGCTGATAAAAATATTTCAAAAATATCTCGGAGTTATCAATGACATTGTCACATGTTGTTAAACTCATGATCCCGAGTGATCGCTTTGAGGATATCGTTATTTATTAAAATTTAAAATTTTATAACAAATAGTTATATATATATATAAATTATATGTATAAACACATTATTTTAGTTTATATATATAATTTAAATATATTAATTTATTTATATTTTTGTATTCACACATATAATTGTGTTTTGATCTATAAATTCCTTATTTTGCGATGAACACTTCGAATTGCAATCTTGAAAACAGATGACAACGTCGAGATGACTTCGATAAAAAAGCGGAACATTTACTGTGTTATTCAAACGCCAACTAATATCAGTATATGTATTACTATATTTCAGTACCAGAACTATATTCTCATCATTCATCACTCTCTCATCAATTGGCAGCAGATACAGCACGATTACCCGTATCCGTTGGCTCGACTCCGACTTACACTTTCCCAACATCGGTGACCTATACCAACTCGTTATTGCCTCCAACTTCATCCACAACAACTCACATGACTCACCAAGGAGCTTCTACGTCGTCTAGCTATCAGCCAGCAAGCAGTCATCAACTGCCGCCAACTCCCAATTCTCTTGTCACTATGATGGGTTCGAATTCAGGTAATTCGACTACAGCTCCTGATCAATTGACACCGCCCGAGCTTCCGCTTGGTTCGGTTTCGTCCGCTCAGCAGCAACAGCCGCAACAACCGCAACAGCAACATCAACAGCAAACGCAACAGCAAACTAGTCAAGGAACCTCGCCGTCGTCGTGGAACCTTGCAATTACCGCTAGCAGCAGAGTTGATCTTCCAAGTCCACCGACAAGTCTGCAAACTCATGCTTACGGTGCTCATCCTCATCAGGCCTTCCCCAGTCATTATGCTGCGCAGAGTTTTCAGCAACCTCCAAGACCTGCGGCGCAAACTTTCTGGACGCAACATCACTTTTGAAAATAATCTCGAGTGTAGATTACACAACTGTGAATTTACAAACAAGAAATCGAAACCATTATAATAAAACGAATTCATAGAATCTAAACTTATCATAATGCTGTTAAGAGATGATGTTGTTTATATTAGCAGAAATCTTTGAATAAACACAGTTGATGACTAATACTTACAGAATTAATAATTACTGATTATAGATAGAATCTCTAATGTATTATTAAGTGTACAAATTAGTTTTTGCAATGGTTTGGTAGCTTTATTGTTTGTTTAAGCTATCATGCTTTTACAGAAACGAAAGTGATAAACTGCCCAATAAAAATGTCGCAAAATAATCAACACAACACAATAGCAATTACTTTAGTAATTGAGTTTAGTAATTACTTTAGTAATTGAATTTGTTTTTGATTCGAACATTAATTAAACTAAACCTAATAGAATATATTAGACAGATAGGTAATTAAAATAGAAATTTATAGTTTATAGATACGATAGATCGTGTGATGTTAGACTGCCTCGATATAAATCCACGTATCTGAGAATTCGTCATGTGCGTGCGCTAGGGGCGACTGAATAATGGGAAAAGGTCCACGATCTTATATCATTGAATGACACTATTTACTTTAATTCATAGAAATGTATAAATATATATTTAATATATATAATAAAAAATATACACATATATTTACATATTTATGTTTATATATAAATATATGTGTATATAAATATACTATGTATACGTATAGGTAAGCTAGGTAGCTAGATATTTATCAAATTGTAACATGTAAGAAAAATATATTACAAAATAAGATCATTAAACATAAACGTAGAACATACGTCAGAATCGGCAGATTAAAATGTTGTGGACTGCCAAAAAGGCACACATATATCTATTTTAGTGATTATAATTAAGCTTTGCGTTGTAATACTTTGCATTGTTTACGATAATCAAAGTTTGACGATAATCACTGTGATTTATCAGAAATGAAAATATCCGGATGTTATAACAAATATTTTCACTATTCGTTGTATCTTCTGCTTATTATCATAAAAAAATTTAGCTTATACATATAAAATTGTACAATACATAATATTCAAGATTATTCTGTATACAAAAGTAGTAACTTCTCTCAAATAACAGAAAACAAACAATGACGAGTAATCTTAAACAAACTCAGAGATTGATACTTCGTGGTAGAGCAAATTATATATATAAATTGTTAATTTATTTCACACTGCGGAGTATATAAATATCATGCATAACATATAAATATCGCATACAGTTCTTTTTTCAATCATTTATGTTTACAGTGCAACCAAAAAGTTAGCTTCTATTTTACAGATATATTTATTCTTCCGTGAGCTTTTAATCTTGTATATATGTTTTAAGCGTTTACCTTATAAAACTGACATTGTGTAAAATATAAGCGCATATTTGCTTTCTTTGATATTTTAAGTGCGTGTTTTAATATATCGGACATACTTTTATAAAGTAGTTTGTAAAAATCTTTTATTGCGATAATTCTTATAATCGCATTTTAAATTTTGTTTTTTTGATTGTACAGTTAACAAGCCGCGTAACATGTTCATATACAATAATCATGATTATTTGTATTACATTATTATAAAACTTGTTCAGTACTTGAACAATTTTTTTCCCATTGTATGTTATATGTTATATAGTTGCAAAATAAAGATTGTAGTTTCTTCTATAATTAGTTTTCTTGTTAACCTTACCTTGATTACCAAGTTAAAAAGAGAAAAAGATTTAAAATCAAATTTATATTATTCTATATTTTATATAAGTGTATTAACATTATTTTAATAGAATACAATATGTATAATTTTAATAAATACAGTAATTTTAATAAAATACAGTAATTATTTTTCATATATTTTTTAAATTAGAATGTAATATCGCGATTTTGATGATATATCGATTTAAATAATAGATCCATAGATTAATAAGAAATATTTACATTTTTTTTTTTTTTGCGACAAAAAGTTGCAATAAAAACGATAAAAATGCCTGAATTATAAAAAAATATTTTGTTGAAAATATACTTTTTTGTTAAACGCGATAGAAACAGTTACCTGTCGTATCATGCTTGAAATATAGTCTGCGACTACAAGCTTCTTTGTTACTGCTCTAGAGGGACACAGAGATCTGTAGTGTACTTCCATCTTTATGCAACTGTTTTAATATGTAAATTTATAACAAAAATAACTTTTTCTCAAAAAGAAATTTGATAAATAAGAAATTTAATAAGTAAAAGTTTTGATGTAGTTTTAAAAAGAAACCTCTTTAATATATAGGTTTTATATATATAAATCATTCTCTCTAATATCATTCTAAAGGTGCTAAGATGCATAATTCGATTTTTATAAAGTTGTAGTGTCTATAGCTTCATTTGTTTTACAAGCATTCTCAAATTCCGATTTTGTACTCTTTTGTTTTCCTCTAAAAATTTCTTCTATTTGTGTTTTTGACTTTCCTCGTGTTTCCGGCAATATTGTTGTATAAATAGCGATTAGAAAAGACATAGCGCTGTAACAGTAAAAAATGGTTGCAACTTTATTCCACCTTACCATCAATGGATATATATGTACATTAACAGCAGTACACAAAATGGTAAAGAAATTGGTGAGGGGACCAAGAACGCCCACGTATTTGGTAGGATACAATTCTCCTATCAATGCCCAGGGAATCATAAGTCCAAATGATCCAAATATCTGTGAGAAATTATGATTTAAAAACTCTTGTAAAAATATGCAAAGTTTTGCCTAGTTCAGTGAGTTTATTATTTCTCAAATTATTATTTATTTTTTGTTTTAGAAAAAAAAGGGTAAAAAATAATAACTTTGAAGAGTTTATATATCTATAATTTATTATATATTATTTATAACTTTACCGTAAAAATCAGAATACAAACGAGTGGTATTTCACCAATGTTGATTTTCTCAAAAAATTGTGTATACATTGCTAAACCTCCCATAGAAATCGACATACCGACGTTGGAGACAATGGAAATGGTTCGGCGACCAATTCTGTGCAAAAAAACATCGGAAAGTTTTACAAAAATTTTGTGTCATTCTGACATTTATTATTATAAATTCTAACAGTACGTGGCAAACAAAAACAATCACCTTGGGCTGCAACCTACGGTAACAAATGACATTATCATCATTATGAGTCCTATTATTACGGTGACCAGACGAGGATCCATCGTAATTTTGGCGTTGATAACCATAGTGACACTATAGACTATTACGGTGTACATACCGTTAAACTGCATAATTAAAAAGTAAACATTCAGTATCACCAGTGGTTTCCATACTTCTGGCAAGCGCATTATTGTCCAGATGTTCTTCAACTTATTCCATGCGTTTGAAGTCAAAGATGATGATGATTCTTTGTTCGCCGAAGAGACGTCTGTTGATAGACAGGTTAGTTGAAACATTTCATTTTTTTTTGACTCGATGTAGCTTATCAGTCTCGCAAACTCCTCCTCGAATTCTCTCGTTTCCCGGTGTAAACCGCGAATACGTAGCAAGGCGTTTCTGGCTGCCTCCTTTCGACCTTTTACCAGCAACCATCCGGGACTTTCGGGAATGATAAAAATGCAGAACACAAACAATAATGAGGGAATAATGCAAAATATTGCTATTAGTTTCCAACTGTCCTAAAACAATATACGCAATTTGTGGTAACTAATTAAATTAAATTACATAGTCTCGATTGTTCTATATTTTTTTTACAATTTTAAGAACTAATTAAAATAAAATAATAAATTTTTATATATTTACCTGTATGAGAAATCCAAGAAGATACACGTAAAAAATTCCTATTGACATACTTGCGATAGGGACAGCTGTGAGACATTCTTTCCACGATGATATAGCAATTTCTCCTATATAAACGGTACTGGGACTTAAGCTAAGACCAAAGCTCATTCCTGAAATTATTTCGGAAATTATTAACACGTTTGTGGTTAATTAGCGTGGATTAATTTTATTTGTTTTGTCACAGGTGAAAAACAAGTTCAGATTGTTTGGAGAAGACTCGGATTTACGCGTCAAAGTAAATAACCTTCTTTTTATGTCAAGCTTCTTTTACTTCTACATTTATACCTCAATAACATGTGTGTGTTACATCATTGGCCAAGTTCAATAACATTGTTATGTTACGAGTGTTTTTCTGTTATTATAAATAATTGTATACAATTACTTAAGTATATTAACTCATATATTGTTCACAGTTAAAAATAATAATTCGTCCAAATTGTTTTTCAATGATAAACTAGAATACTCGAGGAAATTCTCTACAGTTTGTTTCATTTGCTCATAATTGATTAAATTAATTATTTATGATTTGAGCGAACCGCATCAAAGCGGCATCGCAGCGCTTGAACTCTAAAAGCTTATATGTTTAGCGATAAATGATTTTTATTAATCAAAATGAAAAGGACAATTAAGATTTTGATAGTATACAAACAGAAAATTTTAATTAAGAAGCACGGTAGTACCTCGCGCCAAGTTCACGTGCAACGAAGTGGCGCTCGAACTTGGCGCGAACACACTGTGTCTCTTATACGCGAAAATCAGGCATTTCAGTGAATGGGAGATTTTTTAATCAACTATTTTTTAATAACGACTGAACCGATTGACTTTTTTTAGTTTTGTTCGATTCGCGGTAAAAAAATTAAAAAAAAAAGTAGTTTCTTGCGTTTTTGTTTCTGATTTTTCGAGATAAATACGACGATAAAGTTTTGAAGTGAAAAAATTTACGATTCGGAAACGTAGTCATCATTCGTTATGTGACCAAATTGTGTGCATGTTCGTATGTCTGCTGCCAGATGACATACATATACGAGCGCGTTTTAAGAAAAAAAGAAAGAAAGACAGAAAGTGTGAGTTAGAGAAAGAAAGAGAGAATCACGAGGCACGATAGTGGCTCGCGTTATTCGCGCCGGCAACACTTCCGATATAACTTGTTTTAATAAACTGTAGAAGCAGTCACGAAATAAAAGAAACGTATAACGTAACAATTAATAATTACCTACGTTAGTCTGGCAAACATTTGTTTGTTACACAAACTTATTATTTTAGCCTTGATATGTAATGTTTTTTTTATTCTGCGACTGTTTCTTGCTATTTACGTCATGAATACACTTTTGTTATATCGCGGCTGAAAAAAAAACTCCAGTGAGAACTCCAAATATTTCGCGTTTTTTCTATTAATTTTCTGTTTGTATACTATTAAAGTCTTGATTGTGTTTGAAATCGCGATCTTTTTATTTGTTTTTACAACAAAAGCGTCTTTCTTCTTTCTTTGATTTTTATTAATTCTTTTCAAAAATAATTAATTCTGTCAAATATGGATCTCCCAGATCTACCCAAGGTTTTAAATCGGTGCCCCTACTAGGTATTAATTTAGCACGATATCTGAAGGCCATGGAAAAAAACTTTAGGGCCTTAGACAATGGTAGAAGTCGTTGACAGCGTCCTTCGTTTAATAGCTTTTGCGAAGTTTGAATTTTGAAGTACAAAAAGGATCTGAGAAACCCAAGTCCGGATAAGACGTTGGCATTTCAAAACGTAATTAAATTTTTTTTTAGTTGTCCACTTCAATATATTGAAAAATTGTTGTTTTTTCCATAATTTTATCAAAATATATATGCATTTAGAGCGATTTATTAGATCATGACGCTCAAACTTTTCAAACGTTTCTTTAAAACTATTTCTTTTTTATCGACACAGAATGATTTAAATTTTCTACTTAAAAAAAGAATATGTCTAAACATTGATTCATTTCTAAAATATTGCATGTCAAAGTTGGGCGCTAGAAAAATGCATTCTTCAAATAACATCCCAAAAATCCATTGTGAAAATGTTTTTAATTTTACAATTTTAGAAGATTTTAGACTTTTGTTCCTGAAACTACGAACGAGTCTGTACAAAACTGCGTTAGAATTTTGTGAAAATCTTAATTACACAAAGAGATATGAATTTTTAAACAAAAAACCTTTTTTTTAAACATAAACAATTGTCAGGTTTTTTTAAACGCTTGTATCTTCAAAACTACTAGATATTTTTTCAATTTGTTTCTTTTGATCGACGCAGAATCGTTCGACCTTTCGATTAAAAAAAAAAAAGAAATTGAAAAAACATTAACTTTTTGCGGAGATTTTCGAACTTAAAGTCGCGTGGATCTCACAGACAGTCTAGACAACTCGCAGGTTATTTTTTACGTCTGTCATCTGAAGGGTTAAGTGTGACAGCGGTAAGGGAATCTGAAACGTGAACACGGCTCGCAAATAAGCTAATCGCGATTCGTCGAATTTTTTACCTGTTAGCACCCTGCCGGCTAAGAGTTGTATCACATTATAGCTGCTCGCGATCAAGAGCCATCCTGCTAAACTTGTCACACTGGCCGAGATCATGGCGCAACGTCTTCCGTATTTCATCGCAACGAGGCACAAAAGGCTGCCGACAATTTGGTTGATGAGTGTCAAAGTAACTGTTTAGACAAAAATTGTTTGTAAACAATAGGTTTATGTTTTTGTTTTTCAATATTTGATGTTTTATTTGGGATATTTTATTAAATTATTATTGATTGCGTGTCAGCGACGCGTTGAAACGATTGGGAATATAGGGTCCCAGAGATCAAATGATATAAGACACTACAAGTACAATGAGTATTAACGAAGCTAATTTGTTGTTTCGTGAAAAACAATTACTGAATAAAAATTACGGAATAAAAACGTCTCGGTATCGTTCAACGTTATCGATGATGTGTTGTTTTTTCTCAATATCGGAAGTGCCACGGATGTGTAACCCCACATAGATCCTATAGCAATCATATTCAAATTGCAAAGAATAGTATAAAACAGCTGCAACAAATGATACACACATTTTTTAAATTATAATCTACTTGTACTTATCACAGTTTTAAACTCGGAACAAAATTCTCTCATAGAACCAATATAGAAAAATCCTGATTACATATATACATCGTATAAAGTAAAACTTATCTGGCAAACATAATTAACATTTAAATAATTAACAGTTAAATATAGTTACCAGGAAAAGCACTTCTCTTCGCAAATTCAATCGCGGATACATTTTTTGATGTTCAAAACTGTGTCTTATCGTTATCTTTGCAAGTTGCGTCACACGTCACCCTAGTCTGTATTCAGTTTGAGACTAAAGCTACAGAATAATAAAGTTCATACTATGTATAGTATGAACTTGAAAATAAAATTGTTTCGGAAAATATTGCAGTCATATCGCATGCAACCTCATTACTTTAAATTGCAAACTGATAAAAAGCGATATGACTGCAATATTTTCCGAAACAACTTAACGTTACAATTTTACGTGTAAAGCGAGTTAGGATCGAGACTCGGCTTGAATACTTTTTTTTTTAGAAAGAAGTTTTAAGTCTCTAAAAGCAAAGAGTATTGAACAGGATATTGAGGCAGATGCGAGAAACGAAAACACGAGATATACGTGTGTGTAATTTATTGAATATAAAAAACTATATACGTTTTGATCTCTTTATTTCGATCTTCTTTAGTGTATCAATTGTATAAAAAAACTGTATACAAAATTGTATACAAACTGTATACAAAAAAACAAATAATTTACAGCACTCGCAAAATAATTAAAAAAAATAACAAATAAATAATGAAGTGGATTTTATCAAAAATAAATGGAAATCAAAATTAGCAGAATGACTACATCGTATTCATGATGTAAAGTATAACTTTGCCGCTCCCTAGCAAAACGCCAGAGAACATCGAACTACAAGTATATAAAATTTACTGCCAACCTTGAAAGAGCTAACGTACAAATAACGTTTTTTCCACTACAAAGTCAAATGACAAGTTGCGTTATGCGAGACAAACGAAAAAAGTTTATCGGTACAACATTTATTGTGTAGAGAGTTGTAAATTTTTCTAATAAAAAAAAACATGACCTAAGCCTCTCGGTGTCAGACTTAATATTAATAGGATTTTCTTTTCTAAATAGAACATGTCAGAGAAACTGATTTCTTAAAATAAAATTTGAAAGACTATCTACGAAAAATATTCACGAATCAGTTGAGCCGTTATCATGGAAAAATTTTAGACATTTTCGGTGTCTAAAAGTTTTACAAAATAATTGTTCAATTGATCCATGGGTGTTTTTTGCAGATATTTTATAATACATGTGATATATATATATATATATATATATATATATTGCAACTGTCACATGAGTGTTGATACATCATTACAATATTATAAGAAAAATAAAACCGCTCGAGTGATAATTGTGTAAAATTACATATAATAGAATTATACATATATATATTTTTTTTAATTTGCAGGCTTTCGCCAAGTTGGCAGAGATGGATATATTGCGAGATTTGATGTTAGAAATTCTAACTAATAATATGTTGTAGCAAAAATATAGAACTTTACTTGTCACGAGAGAAAAAAAACAATTTTTCCAACTTTCTTCTTGTTCTAGATAAAATCATAGTTTGAAATCTTTGCGTTTTGCACTAAAACCATAATTTAGTAAAAGGAAGTAAGTCTGTAACCATTCTTTTTGATATTTTAGCAAAGCATTTGGAAGATGTCTCTTCACTAAATAGTATGATAAGCGAAATACACATGATAGAGTTCGATGGTAAACAATTTGTTCTGTATAAAACTGCTTATACTTACTATATACATATAATATGTACATGTATTCTATATACATATGTACATATATTCTATATACATATGTTATATGTACATATATTCTACAAAATCTGAGTAGTAACAAAATCGTATTTCACTTTCTTTTAACGTAATTGTGTTTTCATAAAAACTGAATAACATGTTTTTTCTTTGCACGTTGTCAAATAATAATAAATTAATCCATCAATTAACAGATAGTTATGTAATGTATTATGTGCTATACGCTGTGTGTGTATGTGTGTGTCAACTTAAAACAGCTGATACTCATTAAATACTCCATCTTTTGCATATCGTGAATGTAATCTGTTGCGTCATAATTAAGGAGCCACGTTTTTCGAATTGCGACAGCAAAATAGCTAAACTTGAGCACTTCACTCGTATCGCGATTACATTCCGAATCTAATAATCACAAGTCTCGTTCGTGGCGCTCATAAAGCCTACGTAATAAACAGTCGATCTTGAATAAACAGTCAGTTTTGTCACGCATGCTCATACCGAAAAGTCACGAGACAACTTTGAGGTTGATATATTTCAATCGGTGCTGATAAGTATCATGCAGTACACGCTCAAGTCTTTAGGCAATCTTTTAAGTAACGCTAAAAATAAAATATTTTTTATATTTTTGCGAGAAAAAATCTGTTATCGGCACTGCAAATATCGCTGTTCTTTATCAGTAAATAAGTGGGGCGTGTACAAGTAAATATTAGATTATTGCTAATAGATCTCTTGTGAAAAGAAACGACACGTTGCTAATGGATTGCTAAGAAGAAACACGCGGATTCTTTAGAAGAAAAGTTTTTATCAAAATTAGTGTAGTGTGAGATTTTGTTGAACGTTTACTTCAGCATCTGGACAAATGCTTTCTCTTCCAGATGAATGTTGCAGTTTCATTCAGGTAGGTCAGTTCACACACACCTTTCAAATTCCGCTTCCTCGCTTTTTTGTTGTAAAACAACAAAAATCAAAAACAATGCTTCTTCCGAATGCATTTCTCATACATTTCGCCAAAAGAGTCGCTTGCAAGTGTTCGCATTACGCATATTTTAACTGCAAAGTGAAACAAGCGATATACAATATTAACGTTTTCTTTAAAAGTAAAAGATCTCGGAAGTTTATGATAAAATGTTGATAATCGGCTGAGCTCGTTTTGCATAAGATAAATATTCTAATAATCGGATATGCACTAAGTACCGGACAGTTTGAAAACATAAATTATTAGATATGCAAATATTAAAAACAAATTTCAGACGCATTTTTAATTGTAATTTTACGTGTCAAGATTTGCATACAAATTATCCGTTAAATAATCATGAATGAGGTGAGAAGTAAATACTTTAAACCGAGTTCATAATCAACTTTGAATTATTTGAAATACTAGAAATGTATAAACATATAAAATTGATAATATTCAAGATGCAGATATGATAATGGGAAACAGTTATCGTTCTTTTGATGACGAATCAAAATCGTCATCGACGATTACAAGTCAGGTATCTTATAGTTATCAAAATGTGTGCGATTGCACACATTTGCAAAATATTTAACGAAGCTGAATGCATCAATTTTGTACAGTTCCAAAATGTTTCTCAAATAACTCTCTCTCTCCAACTATAATCTCACGAATGATTCATATTGTCGATCAGTTATACGAAGCGATTTGCGTACACGATATACTTGTGACGATAATCTCCTTACGCAAGCGCCAAGAGTTCCGCGATAACATGCACGTTATATTACGTACGGTCTTACGGAGAGCTAAGCTGTCTTTAATCGTTTCTAATTTACGAGCACGTGCCACTTGGCGACCTCAGATACTCGACGTTATCGGATTAAGAAGCTCTTTTCGACCCTGGGAATATATATTTGTCTAATAATAATCATTATCGTTATTGTTATTTGCGACGTTCGGCCGTTTTTTCTTCTTCTTCTTTTACAGATTAAAAACAAAACTGGTTTTTTCAAATAATTTACGCTTTTTATTTATTTGTTTTAAGTCTTGAAGATGTTTTGACATCTTTCTCATTGCAGCGAGTTTGTAAAAGTGCTTATAAAATATAACAACAAATTGTAAACAAAACTTAATAAAGTGTGCTGACATGCGCAATAATAAGTCCAATCCGTCAAGGCCGTTCATGAGTTAAATCAGCCTCAAATCGAAGAGAAAGAGAAGAGCAGATGTTCTCGCGGATTAATTAAACCGTCTACAAAAATTTCGTATAATTAACGCTGGTTTAATTTAAACACTTAAGGTTGTGTTGTCTAAACGACATGTACGCATAAAATTCGGTGAAATATACGTGTCTTCTTTCAGATATACATTTTATTGTATTTGTGAACATGACACGCTTTGTGAATGTTTACATTATTTAATCGTGACACTCTGTGGTAGAGACGACATTGTTAGTTTTAAAAGATATCAAAAATGATATTGTATATGTTAGCTGTTTTTTTTTTAAAAGTGCGAATTGCTTTATTTACTCTTCAAGTGTCTCAAATGTGTAATTATATGTATACATTTATTTATTTACATTACACACAGAATTTATACATTAAAATACAATATCTCACATTAAAACGTTTTTTAACTTTCTCTAAACTGGCCAAATAGTCGTTTTTATATTAACTCGGTTCAATGTCAGAATAAACAGATGTTTCGGATTAAATATTGATGTGCTATATATCTCTCTCTCTCTCTCTATAACGTGTTAAATAATTTATTTATCAGAGAGATTAATATGTACAACATAGAAGGTACAATTTTAATTAGCGCGAGATTGTCCCAGTATTATTGGCTAATTTGTGGAAAGTATATGCGCTAAATTTATTTTTAGTAAAATTTATATATACAAAATGCTTCAGAAATAGGTGGGGAACATAGATTCGGTTAGATTCAGTACATCGTATATAAAATATCATACATACTATTTATATAAATTATTTATACTTATATATCTATTTTTCTATTATATTTATATTTTTAATTAATAAATCTATTTTTTATAGATCTTTGGTTTTTATAAATTTAAATACATTAATTTTTCGCACGTATTTATTCGACTACAAAGACAGTAAAATAAAGTTCGTGTAAGTGTAGGACAAGTACAAAGTTTTAAGAAAATATTAGCTGTTAGTATTTATGTTAATATTACAATGTTTTTCTGTATTAATTAGAAAGACAAGCTTTTAGGTAAAAATTGAAAAAAATTAAATTAAATTAATAAAAATTAAAATAAATTAAATAAAAATCGTAGCTATAGTTTACTATATCCACTATTTTATCTTTTTGTTACACTTGAATATGCCGTCAATTTGTTTTCTGTTTTTGTTTTACATGGACATTTCAAACACAATAATCATTCCGATATCTGATATTATTACTGTACTTGTTCCACACAATAAAAAAACGAATAAATTGTCAGACACCGAGATAATATCTTAATTGCAGTTTTATGTAATTAAGTTTTATCAATCAATAATTTATCAATCGTTAATATAAAAATAAATGATAGATGTATTTGATATTCCCAAACGTCGCCCCGCGCCGATTACGACAGATCATCGAGCAACGCGAATAGACCCGGAGTGGAGAAACGAAGTGGGTGCTGGAGATAAAACCTTAGCATCGTCTTCAGTCAATAACGAGTTGCCGGTTAGTGTTGGTCATAAGCGCAGCTGCATGTCGGACTTCTTCTCGCGCCAATCAAGACATTCTTGCGAATGTCGGGAAAAGCGTTCACGCGCAATTTTCACGAGAAAGATTTTTAATATTCGAAAAAGATCGATTGGGTGAATTAAAAAGATACTTGTAAAATAATTTGGATTTTTTACGATAAAAACGTTAGTATTCCGCGTATTTTCTGAAAGAGATCAGAAGATATCTGAAATCTGGAAACGAGTCAGAAAACTGCGAAATATTTTTGTCAATTTTCCGGAGCGACGAGTATCTGGAAAAACGCAACAAGTTTGTTCGAATTGCGAACAGCAACACGCCTGATTGCAGATAAATTTATATGTAACACTTAAAAGCACGAGTTAGTATGAGTGAATCGCAATTTTCCACAGAACATTACCGTGCAAATAATATAATACAAACAGATATAGTTCAGTGAAATAAATAATTTCCGCTAATTCTATCTATGTACATATGAGTATGTACGTATTGCGATAATAACATCTAGATAGAGAAAAAATTACAAAAAATATAAAAGAAAAAACTCGTGTGACATATAAAAAACACTATGTTATATGGTGCAATAGCGAGTTGATTTCAAGTCGTTCGGCAGTTTCGCACTTTTAAGCAGTTGTTTGACATTTTATATCTTCTAAATAATTGCATATGCAAGCGGTCGATAAATGTTAATGAGATTTAAAATACCTTGTGATATCATCTCATTATCGCACATATAAATACGTCCAGTATTATAAATACACAAATTGGATCGTGAAAGAGTCGACGCGCGAAAACAATCGAGAAACGCAGTTCAGAGAGTCAAGAAGGATTAGAGTTCTTCCTAAAGTGAGATAAAAACATATCAGGCGAGATTGAAAAAATTAGAAAGATTATATTGTTTCACGTATAATTTACATATAAATTATTGTTGCGATATCGCGGTAAGTGACGAGAGAAAAGCGTCATGACGAATGCAAAAGATGCTAATAAAATAAACGGGCAAAGAAACGGCGTGAATCACGCAATGGATGTTAATGTTACAAATGGACACGCAGACATTGTTATTGCGAATGGACAAATTGATGTTAACAATACGAATGAACGCTTATCGACTTGCGTGGAAATTAAGGTATGTAAATTACCTCTGACAAAATCGCAATAAATGATTCTTCAAATTTATATGTGAACAGGCTGTGTTTTTTATTTTTGTGTATATGTTTAAATATTTGCTCTTCACATATTTTGTTTTCACATTCTACACAAGAATGTTTCAGTCTTAGCGTCTCACAATTTCTTGAACGCTCTCTGAAGCAATTTCTTCGTGCGACACATCATTCTCTCTTTCGCTCTCCAGGATTGACTCTTCAGTTGCTCACATTTATAGATTTCTTATCGCTCGGTCACTTGGTTTTGCCGTTGATTATACAGAGGTCATCAGAATTATCGCGCTTTTCTTCTCTCTGTGTGTGATTTTCTTCCTCTTTTTCTTCGGTTCGAAAACCGAAGATAGTTCTCCGATTTGTGATAACGATTTGGAAATTTGCTTAACACACGTTTATTAGTAAGTGCCATTGTTCGACTGTGAAATAATCTGATATCACGATAAAAACACTGATTGACGCGTTTCGATCGCGCATTTCTCTATGCGCCAACAATTAAAATACATTCACGATTAAAAGTTTGATAGCCCTTTGCTCTTTTATGTTTCACTATAAATTAAATTTTGTGTAGAGAACAAAAGAAATGCTCGTGTAACGCGAGTAAATCTATTTCATCTCAACGCTTTGTGCGATAGATATTTTACGTAATTATCACAAACACATTTTCACTATGAATAAAAACACTTGTACGTAATATGCGATTACGCAAGATGAGAAATACTTATAAATATTAAATTTTTATATTTATATATATATATATATATATATATATATGTGTGTATTTTTTGCACATAAAATGCAGTTTACAAACACGACAAAAAATATTCTTCCTCTTAATATATTTTTTATGCATATATTTTAATATATTTTAAATATATTTAATATATTTTTAAATATTTTCATACATTTTAATTATATTTTTTAATGCAAATCATTTTTTTTTTTAATCACACATATCTATTTTACACAAAGAGCAACGATGATAATCAATAATTGCGGTTGATCTTTTCTGATTTCGCAGGTGGAGCCCAGCGATGTTGATCAAAAAAAGTGGGAACGAGATGGCGTAATTTATCAAGTACGTTAATTTATATCGTAAAAATAAATCACATCATTATTTTTAATTATATGCTTGTGTGCAAAACCTAAAATTCAAACGAGCGTAAACTACTGTCTTGTTTACGATAATAGAATGAATAATTTATTACTCAATAAATCCTCTTCGTCAAGATTTCCTCTTCATCGAGATTTAAAATCTGTCTTGTAATAACGTTTGATTGTAATTATCGAGATACGTATCGAAAATACTTTATTGATTGCACTATCGCTAATTCGTTGCTCAACTAGTTCGTTTTGTCGTCAGTAAAGTCATTATGTTGCACATGATATTGCAGTTAAACAATCGCGTATGAACAATCGATCGCCACGCGTACGCGTAACTTCGTAATTAGCATCTCAAGCTTCGTAATTTTTTTTCAACAAGTAAACGCACCTTTTCCTGTTTTTATAAATTTATGCGCTTTGTATTTCCGACAACTAATATGTCAGAATGAAAACTAACGTAATGATCAAGATAAAATGTAAATTGAATGATGAAATACAAATCGGTCATGTCGTAGTGTACAGAGATTGTCTAGTCAACTAAACTGTTTTATAATAAGTGCAAATTGCTCGGAAATATCTGTAAAACTATTATATGTTTTGTTGATAAAGAAAACTAATTGCGGAAAAAAAACAAGTTTACTGAAGTCTCATTAGTCTCGGGACGTTGTTCATTTAAACGCCGGTAAAGTGAAAATTGACGAGAAGCTGTGAAAAACAGTCTCATTATTATTCCGCAAAAAAAATACACTCGATTCTTAGCTCCTAGATGTTTTACTTTATATTAGAGATTACAAATCACGTATTTTTTTTTTTTTTTTTTTCATACAGATACGTATTATGCGTAGCGTAGGATCATTATCTCCAAACAACAAGTTTCTTTTTTAACTAATCGGAGATGGATCATGTTCATTTGTGACGTGATTGCGAAATTCTTAAATTTCAGAAGTCGTGTCACTCGATAAGATATAATTTGTCCTATTATCGATACATTGTGCGAGAATGTCTATCTGAAAAAGAGATGTGTATCTTTAACGTCTGTAAAATACGTACACGAAATTTGAATCAACTCACTCGTGCTTTTCACGTCGTGCAATCAATGAGCGTAATCAAACAATTAAAAGTGATCAAGTGTTTACGTCATGTTATGTGAAACAGCACCGTCAAAGTTGCACTTCCTATCGTTCACAAATATTTATTAAACCGGTTTTCACATATATATACGCAACAACAGTCGATGGTTAACGTGATAAGAAACTCGTTCAGACGCAAACAAAAAAGAAAACTTCAACAGCTAGCTGACTAGCACTTGTTAGTTAGCTTTTTGTAGAACACAAAAGCTATTTGCATTACCTCCTGTATCTGTGTTTGTTTGTCACAGTTACGCACGTCATATATCTTGCGGTTAGAGAAATAATCCGGTTATAAATCTTCCGTTTTACATCGACAAGTGTGCTCTTTAGAGTTCCTTAGTTAGTGCTAGTTTGGAAAATAGTCTATTTGAAGTTTTTTTTCTGATTTACGATCTGTGTTTTCCACAGATATTGATGAGTTTATGCGCCAATGTTGTGGTTCTGGGTCCAGCGATGGGTTTCGGCTACAGCGCCGTGGCGGAGTCCGCGATGAAGGCGCCGAAAACCGACGACGTACAACTGAGCAATGTTCAGGCAAACTGGATGAGTTAGTGACATAAAATCTACTTCCTTCTCTTCTCTCTCTTTCTCTCTTTCTCACACACACACACACACACACACACAGCTTCTCATTATTGAAAACCTTCGTATTCACGTCTTACAGCCACCGTCTCGGCGTTCGGGACGCCAATTGGTTGTTTGCTCTCGAGTGCCGTGATGAGGCGCGGAAGGAAAATCAGCATGTTCGTGACGTCATTAATTTCGTTGGCGGGTTGGATAATCATCTACAGCGCGAACAACTTCGAAATGATCCTAGTAGGAAGAGTGATCTCCGGAATAGCTACCGGAATGGCATCGGTCCCATCCACGGTGTACATAGCAGAAATATCGGGAAGCAAATGGAGAGGCACCATGGTCACTTGGACCAGTATCTCCATTGCTCTCGGAGTTCTTATTGTTTATATTTTTGGATTATTTTTCAAGGTAAAGATTTCCAGCTCCACGAGTTACATTAAAAAAGCATAAATCGAACAACAGTTTAACTTCTGTTGCATAAATTAGAAGAAAAAAACTCATTCATTTGAAATAATCTTGCAAACTAGACGTCACATAAATTAAACACATAAGTACTTATTATTACAAGTACTTATACGTTACATAAATTAAAATATTATTATAAGTATAATTATACAGTTGCATAATTTGCAAGTATTAGATACTTAATAGACACTTAATAGGTAATTATTACTACGCATAATTATGCGCATGATACAAATGATAATCTTATTTTTACTTACTTAACGTATAATCTTACTTTTTCCTTTTTTTTTTTTTTTCTAAGGACGACTGGCGCATGGTGGCTTTGATGTGCGCGCTATTCCCGGTGGCAGGGATCGCTCTCACTTTGTTACTGGTGCCTGAGAGTCCTCTGTGGCTGCGGGATCAGAATCGTCCCGAGGAAGCGTTGGAGATCATGAAGAAATACCGCGGAGTGCCGAGGAATCAACCGGCTCCGGCGGAGGTTCTGTTCGAACTGAAACCGCGACCCCAGAAGAAGAATCAGAATTTGCTAAAGCAGCTGACAAAGAGAAGCTCTTTGGTGCCGTTCGTCATAATGCTCACCTTCTTCTTCTTCCAACAATTCTCCGGTATTTTTGTGATCATATACAACGCCGTCGAGATCATGAAGAAGTCGGGAGTACAGGTGGATCCTTATCTCGGTGCCGTGCTGATAGGCGTCGCTCGTTTCATAGCTAGTCTTCTCATGGCCGGTGTGTCCCGAAAATTCGGCCGACGACTTCCGTCTTTGATCTCCGGCGTCGGAATGACGATCTTCATGGGCATTTTGGCGCTGTATCTTTTCATAGCTCACAAAGGAATCACTATGCTGGACAATGGAGTGGTACCGGTGATTAGCATGATCATGTACATCTTCACAAGCACTCTGGGTTACCTAGCGGTTCCTTTCGCCATGGTAGGCGAAGTGTATCCGTCCAAGGTCAAGGACATATTGTCCGGTCTGACGGTCGCTTTGGGTTACGTTTTCAGCGCGATCGCGGTCAAAACGTATCCGGATATGTTGAGATTAATGAACATGCACGGTGTGTTCCTGTTCTACGCGATCATATCCTTACTTGGCACGATATTCATCATGCTGTTCTTGCCCGAAACAAAGGGAAAAACTTTGGGCGAGATCGAGGACATGTTCTCCAGAAAGAAAACCTCAAGAAAATTCTCCGCCTACGAGCTGCAATCGACGGAGAGAATAAACGGAGGAAAGATCACGCCGTCCTCCGTCGAAATTCTTGGAAATTAGAAGAAGTATTTATTGTTTACATGGGTGAAGATAACTACTAAACTAATTTATTGCTTATGTACAGACAAATAAACGCCGATGGCGTAAATAACACAATTAAGTATCCGACAAGGTTAACGTCTTAGCTGACGCGAGAAACAGATAAATTATAATAACAAAATACACATCACATTGTGATAATTTTAAGAAGTAACGAAAAATATACATGTCGAAAAAGAGATTGAAGTGATAAAACTATACTTCAATGTTTAAGTTTGAGGATATAAGTTTTTTTTATTAAATTATATATATGATAATTTGTAAAGATTTACAAAAAGACACCAACTCCAAGACGTTTACTTAGCATTTATTGATCTTCTTATACCCGCGTCATTTAGTATGACACTCATACTCGCGCGCGGGTGCTACGATCTACTTTTAGAGAATAACAACCAATTTACTTAGTCAAAAGAAAACTTCATCAAAAAATATAGTTTTATTAACATTTTAAGTTGTATATCACAAAATTTTCAAAAACAATTGTCGGTCTGTGAGACCCAATGCGCGGGTATTAGGAAGGTTCGACTCGTATTGTGAAAACGAGTTGTTGTAACTTCGGTAAACATTACGTAATTAAACCGATGTATGTGTCACATATATAAATATATATATATATATGTATTAATATATATTTATATATTATTTACATTTTTATGTAAAATTATTTACACTTGTACGTGAAATGCGTTTTATAAATGTTAAAATAGAGATATGTAAAATTTATGCTAGTCTGAAAAAGAGATGCTGATCCGTAATCTCGAAGCTGATATTTCAATAGGACATATTCGATATCGACATATATCGTGTTATTATATTGAATTTTTTTTTATTATTGTTTTAAATAATTTGAATAAAAACTTCATTTAAAAAAATAAAATTTACATTTTATAAAGAAACGTCACGTTTTATAAGAAAGTTTACAGTTTTCTGATATTGTCATCTCTTACAAATGTATTTCTTTTTGCACATAGAAAGATTATTATATCATCACAAATCGATATCGTAATCTTTTCGATCTTGATAAAAGATCGAAAAATTGATATTGCGTGAAGTATCGATAATACGCTTAATTAATTAAAAATATCGTTGCGTCAAGGTTAGCATTGATAAATTATAATAATATTCAATTATTAAAACTCCGTTTTCTGATTAGACAGATGAATAATATCTTGATAGCACGTATCTAAGTGCAAACTGTAAACTGTGTAAACGATGCCATTACTACTTTATTTCTGTAAGTGTGACTGTCTTTTTACAGAGATAAACATGAATAAGTTTAATGTACTCTGCGATAAGAACGACAGATTTTATCGGAGCGCCGATAAAACGATCGAGTGTGTCGACCAACAGATAAAACTTTGTATTCGCGTGTCACAGATATGCGCTTTTTATTTAAGGCTGAAAAGTATTCCGACGACGCGATGATAATCGAAATTTTCTCCGTGATTAGAGAAATGCCTAGCGATTACAAGCTCAGCATTCGCAAGTTGCGAAGTTACTAAAGTTACTTCCTCTTGCACAACTTAAAATGTGTTCCCGAAACCAAATCAACGACGATAGCAAAATCTGCCGAGTGATAGATGAAAAAAAAAAAACGCATTAAAAGGTTTTTTTTCACTTCAACGATGAGAAATTTATTTTGACTGAGACTTGATCGCAATTTATAAGTTTTTTTTATGACTTACTTAAACTGTATTAAAACATCGTATTAACTATATTGTTTATTAAAAATATATTTCACAATGATGTAAAAATATATATTATGTACATGTCTTATTGTGCGTGTTTAAAAAATATTTTATTATTAAAATCTTAAATAATAAATTAACAAATGGCGTAACAATCACGATAATTAAATATATATATAACAAACACAAAATAATATACAATATAATCTATGCAATGTGAAAACAGGTGAGATTTTGGGGGAAAATGAGATGAGAGAGAGGATAGACGACGACGATTATTTTGATATTACTATTAATAACGATAATAATAATAATAATAGTAATAATAATAATAATAATAAAAGCGACGATATTAATAATATAAACTAACTATAATACGTAATAATAATAACACGATGTGCTAATAAACGACCAATTAATAAAATAAATTATTATCTGCGAGATGATGCGTAGAAAAAGTAACGTACTGTCGAAATGGAGAAAATCGGAAAATATCTCACACAGACGACGTCGATTCTTCTCGCACTACATGTATCAAAATATACGATGTATATATATATATATATGTGATATTTTTTAAATTAATTATTTTCTTCATTTCTTCTTTAAACATTACTTAGCACCACCTCGTGATATTTTAAGTAACAATATATGACGAAGATGCGTGACGAGGTACGAGAGCGATAATTTAAACGATCCTAAGTCGCTACGTAAAAATAAGAAGAAGAAGAAACGAGAGAACGCGATGCTGCAATGTAGAAAAACGTACAACATTTCTACAGACATCTTATGACTTTCGCGTCTCTCCAGTACAAAAATAAAAATTAAACGTTTTTAATAGTCTCTTAGTTAAAAAGCTCGGAGCTTTTGTTTAACTTCAGTCTTCTTCTTCTTCTTCTTCTTCTTCGATTATCAGCAATTATCGATTAAACCGAAGTACAAATCGCCCGGATTCAGTTCTGGCTCCCTATTACGATATTTTTTTTTCTCTTTTTTTTTGTTATCACCGCGTGAAATCTTATACTTATATTTCAAACGGGCAATCGCCTAGCGCGATAGGCGATTGCACGTGACATCTTTTGCAAAACAATTTTTATTCGTGGTCAAGGTTTGACGATCGCCTATCTCTCGACTCAGCAAAACTGTCGTGAATGATCGGTGAGCTTCGTTCGCGCGATATAATTCACCGTCGTAGAGTTACATCATTAACTACATTTAAGTTGTTGTATAAAACAAAAAAAACTCTCGTTAATAAATTATAAGATAAAAATATAAAATTTTACGATTAAAACAATATTCTTAAAATAGAGAGTAAAACTTTTTTAGCTCTATGTATCTTGTAAAATTTTTTAGTCAAATTAAATTACACAAAATATAAAAAAAAATTTGTCAAAATTTAAAGCAACTGAAATTACGACCAACGTAAACTAGGCGCTTCTCGCAAGTTCAGCGCCTAGGGACGTGAGTCTGGATACGGATCAACTACATATCTTAATGATCTAGTAATGTCAGTAAAGCTCTATCAGTGCCACAAATCGAATAATTTCTCTGATTCGTTTTCGCGCATCTAATCCTCCCTAAAACCAGTAAAGCTTCGTTGGAGTCAAAAGCCTCTTCTTAGCTGCTAGTTCTCTCTACTCATTCTCTCTCTTTCTCTCTTTCTCACTCACTCACTCACTCATTCGTTCTCTTTCTTCCTCACTTATTTTCTTTCTCTTTTTCCGCTACGCGTAATATTAATAAAATGTCCCGTTGAGATATAATTACGTTATTTATCCCGTTTATATAATTACGTTTCTACCGTTCATTATCATCAACTGCTAACGTGATTGCAAATCGCCTGTTACCGTATCTCGCATTTCGCGACAAATCGATCCTACGATCGTTGATATTCCGCGTGATCGAATAAGTCTTTCGAGCCCAGCTCGCGATCGAATCGCGCGTCAAACATTAACGAAATCGCATATAGCATCTAACATGTAAACCTCGGTCGCAAAACAACTGAATTTTTTCTCATCGCGTTTTCTTATCCTACCGTAATTCGAAGCGGAAGTTGAAAGTTTTTTCTGGAAGCGCCAAGTTACCGATAGGAACTTTGTAGATTTCCTTTTCTACCGGCAGGATGTTGAAGTTTTTCAACAGCGTGGCTATGGTCGCGAAGCTGATGTATTGGACCATTTTGTAACCCATGCAGGATCTTCGGCCGCCGCCGAACGGCAAAAAGTGTTCCGGTTTCAAGAGTTTGCCGTTTTGCACAAATCTCTCGGGCATGAATTCCTCGGGAGACGTCCACAGCTCTTTAGACATGTTCAGGTCGTAGTTGTTGAGGAAAATGAATGTGTCTTTTTCAATTTTGTAACCTAAAACAAAAAAGATTGATTCGAATAAAATCGCGAAGAACGAGTACTGCAATGTTTGTTATTAAGAAGCGCGTCTCGACGTGTTACTGTTCGTTGGACTCAAACAAAAAAAACACGCGGCATCGCATCGGAACTGGAGATTTGTGAAGTTTAGCAACTTTCAGTTTCGCAAGTTTTTTTTTCTTTTTTTAATTACAACAGCAACAAGGCAAGAAAGGAAAACACGTTAGTTACATACTATAAAGGGAGAGAAAACTACTCACCAGCTATTGAGCTATCTTGATTGGCCACATGCGGCACGATGGGACTGGCGATCAGCCTGATAGCCTCGAGAATGATAGATTCCGTATACGGCATGCTTCCCCTGTTTTCCAGACCGACGTATCTGCTCGAAGTCTCGACTCTGTCGATTTCCATCTGTGCCGCTTTCTGCACGTGCGGTCGAGTGACCAGGTAACCCAGGATCTTGACGAGAAGATTGCCAACCGCCGAGTGACCTCCGAGAATATCCTCCAGGGCGAATATCGCCGTGTCCCAGGTCATCTTGGGCTCGGCGTCAGTTTTGATATGATTGATCAGACAATCGACGTAGTCCTCTTCGGGCAAGACCGATTTCCAGTTGGCGAGGCGATCCCCAATGATGTTCTTCTCCACGAACTTTCTGACCTCGTGACTCCAGTTGGCCATTCTCGTCATGTTCCTCTGATGCAGCGGCATTAGGAACGGCATAAAGTCCGCGGCGTAACCTTGATTAACCTCGTAGAACACCTTGTCGAAGTTCTCGATCATTTGGCGGAAATCACCGTCCTCGAGACCGAAGCTACGCGAGCTGAAGTACTCGAGAAAGATGTTCGCGCACGTGTGCAGGATCAGCGGTTTGGCGTGCAAACTAGCGCCGGCGGTGTTGCTCAGATAATCGAGTAGCGTTTCTATCTCGGTGCCAATGATGCCGTTCAGTTGATTGTATCGGGTGGTGAAGGCGCGCGGAAATGTGTGCGCCCGCAACATCTCTCTTCGTGTTTTCTGCATCTCGGACCAGTTGCAGAACGCCAGAGCTGAAAACACAAAAAGGAACAAAGGAACTTAATCCCTGCTCTATAATCTGAAGACTCAGTGGATAATTAGCTAACCGATTTTCTGAACTCCGATTATTTTTGTTGTTGCTTACATCTAAATTCATTTTGCTGAACAAATTTTTTATTTTGAGAAGAACATTGAAAAGATTTGTGAAAAAGAATATATGATATTGTTAATTAATTCAGACACAGCGTGTATTTAAGATATATAGCGTGTATATTGCGTGTAGTTTTGCGTCGTACATCTTGATTTATAATAAAATTTGCGATAAAAACAGCTCACGTGATGGAAAATATATTTATTCAAAAATTTATTTGTTCAAAATAACCGCGAACTCAAATTATTATCGAATTGAGAAAAGAACGATCAACATGAGCGACGGCGGTGTCGAGCTTAATCTTGGTATCATCATCCCGACGCGTTTAACAATGCGTTTCGAAATGTCGTCGATTTTCACAATTTGCAAGATTCGCAAGAAAAATATTGACGCATGCATTTTTTCCTATTTCAGACGTGTCTTCGCGTATATACGGAAATACGGTAACACAAACGCGACGTTGCACTATCGATTGTACAGCGAACGCTGTGTAGGAAATTAATTCACCGAGCGCTCGATATGAAATCGGAGCGGGAGAGAAGACGACAGCAGGAAGTGACCCGGTTTCTCAACGCTCGTGCAGGGTATCCGAGAACCTGAAGAGAATCTTTCCTTTCGATCCTTCCGCCACGTGATTTTTTTCCGTGACAACCGACAAACGCGTTATTGCGTCATTAAAAAGAAAAAAAAAAGAAATAAGAAAGTTGTAACTAAGTTGAAAATGTTTTTTGAGAAATTTATAAATTTAGTGATTCAGTTTGCATGGGGTAGACTTTCAAAATCGTCTGAAAAAATTAACAAAACAAAATATTTCTGTCCTGGAACAAAAATTCGGAGTGTTGTACATAAATGTTTTTAAAAAATTAAAAATACATTACGCATATTAGCTCTCGTACATTCAACGGTTTTATATGTTGCGCACAACAAAAACAATCAAGAGTATTATGTAATTACCAGCATTTAATTCGCAATAGAAGAATATTCTGAATGTGTAATTCGTATTTAAAGAAGATGTGTGATCGTATTTAGAGCTACTGGCGTCATGACGTGCGCGCGAAAATAAAACGTTCCGCTGTAATACGAGCACGCAACGGAAAGAGTTAGAACGATCGTGGAACACGGCTCTGATTCTGATAGATCAGCCTTGATCCTGTTTGTCGAGCTGCCGGGTGAGCCGAAGAACGCGTGAAAGTGGTACCGTGACCTTTCCGCCTGCACTTGGTACCGCTTCTGCGTTGCTGACCTTAGCACGAGTTTCGGACAGACGGAAGGGCACACTTTGTGCGCAACAAATAAATATCATGTAACACGATATATGTGCGTGCGTGATTTACGCGTTACAGCGAGATTGTTCAGCATCAAAAGCGAGTTTTTAGAAAAGTCCTGGCGAAATACTGGAAAACACGGTGTTTCGCAACAATGTTTCGTTAATTAACCACGCACGGTGATCGGTGATTCACGATCACGCAATAAATCGCAATCAATCGGAATTTCTTATTTTCCTACCGTGCGTGTACGATCGACGTGTACACACTCGAACGACTAACCGTGACCCAAAGCGCTGATTCGTTAAGCGCGAGCGTAATCGATCTCTATTTCGATGAACGGTTTGACAATGTTAAATTAACCGTTTAATTCTCTATTGTGTTTATTATTTTATTTTCTACTTTTTCTATCATAATTGATTTAGTGTATATTACGTATAAAAAAAGATCACGAAGTTAAATTTGTTAGAGATAAATAATAATATATTTTTTGAAACATTTAATTGTATAATACAAATTACTGTATTTGAAATTAAATTAATATTCAAAATAGAAAGATTTTTTAGAAAAATTTATACCGTTGATGTGGTGGAACCAATTGTTGGAACTAATCGTGAAAATACTAAAAACAAAAAAAAGTAAAGATGAGACACTTACAGTTCTCTTTGTTGCCGCAGAAGAGAAGATTGTATCTGATGAAGTTCGGCCTGGAGTCGAAGTGGTGACCTTTGGCGACCAAGACCTCCTTGATGTTTTCCAATCCGTTGACTACGACGCAAGGCAGGGATCCCATTGTGAGCTTGATCACCTGGCTGTCGTATATTTTGACGAGGTCGCCGAAAGCCTTGTAAGGTACATCGTAGCGTCCCAAGATGTGAAGGGAGCCCAGAATTGGCCATGGTTTGGGTCCAGGTGGATCCTTCAAGGTGGACGCCTCTCCGCTGTCGTCCAACTGCTTCGGTGACTTCTTCGTTCTAATATACTCCACCAGGATCAAAATCAAGGCCACCAGACTGACAGCCAGCAGGAAATACGTCGTGGTGCTGATAGAAATCATTTTTCCGGCACAATCACAGTTTTCTTCACTAAGAGACTCTCCGTTCTCTCTCTCTCTCTCTCTCTCTCTTTCTCTCTCTCTTTATTTTTTTCCTCTTTCTGTGGATTTCCTTGAGAGAATATGGTTTTCAGCGTTTCTCGATATCTCGATGAATGAATCTTCTTACCAAGTCTGGTTGTTTGATATAAGTTCTTTCTAAGAAAAAATCAATTCTTTCTGAGCCAAAACACGTGGATCTTGATGGGATTGCTCTAATTGATGTATTCGACTAGACCTAGCTTCGATTCTAAACCTGTAGTCTCTTGCTCACTTTTCCAGAGATGTCAACAGCAATATCTGTCGAGACTCTTTTCCAAAACGACCTTGGATGTGATACCACGAACGAGTGCCGGCGAAATGATCGATCGGGGACGCAAGCTCCTTGTGGCCCGTCTGTGAACGGTCCGCCGATCTGGCTCGGTCTGTGGGGATAGCATGGTTGCCCGGCTATCTTATATAGCCGGTCTTAATGTAGTCAGCACATTTGCGTCGAGTTGAGTGCGTCTCAACCCCATACATATGGATTCGTGGTGAGACGAGGAGAAGGAAGAGAAGAAGGAGAAGAAGGAGGTGACGGTGGAGGTGGAGGAAGAGGAGAAAGAAGAGAAAGAAGGAGGTGGTGGATACTCTTAGTACGGGATAGCGTACCCCTTCCGCTTCAACGAATTTCAAGAAAATTGAAAATTGTCTCTTGTGCACGACAGCTTCTGAGTCGATAGTTAAACCAGCGCGGAGGGATGATTGCACCGACTTCTTAGGAAGAAAAGAAGACAGAGAAAAGAGATCTTGAAGGCAGTAAGGCGAAGAGCGGTTCGCAATTGGTGCGGTAAAAGAGGAAAAGTTAGAGATAGAAATTGGCAAGAGAGCAATTTTTGAAGGAACGCTTCTTGCTCTTGACTACTCTCCTTAATGATACACCATATTGGTTTTCTGGTAACGAACAAGATGATGTGCGCGAGCATCGCGCGTATACTCTGGCTTGTCGATCACAGCTGCTTGATACATTTTATTACGGATACTTGTACTTGTTGAATGTACTTGCGCGCGATGAGACGGTTGAAATCGATGGTAATTGACTTTTGGTAACCCGCCTGGGTACGTGGACGGAGAACGAAGTTTCGTTTTTCGCGAGACAACCGGTTGCATTAGTATGACACGACCACAGTGCTTTCGGACGCTTTAAAGAGTACGTAATCGAGTCGACAAGAAGGCGGATTTACGGACGTGCATTGAGTTTGCGTCGAGAGACGCAATGCGAAAGGGAAAGAGAATCTGCGATTCCTCGTTTTCAGAAGAGAAAGAGGAAGGCTAGAGAAAAAAAAAGTGCCGCGTTTCTTAATGCCGTCGATGAGAGATCGTGTATTTGAAATTTTTGTCGCCACGATAAAAACAGCTGAAAGTATATATTGTTACGACAAAAAAAAAAGAAAGAAAGAAACAGTTCTTTTGTGTTTGAAACAAAAGATTACGTATAGAATGTATTTTTAAATTTGTCCTATTTTAATATTTTAAAAGAACAAATACATTTTACCGTACATGTGTGACGATAGTGATCTCCCGTGGCATTCCTTTATTCTTGCTCCGGACCGCAGACTTTGTTTACGTCTGGAACGATTTTTCTCATCGAGAAAAATCAATCGAATCGATCTTGAATCCGTAATCCGTCTCAGCAGGATGTTGAATGGCGTTATGTAACTGTAAGACAACTATGCGAATGTATTTTTATTTGACGAAAAGGAAGTGAAATATACAATTCCAATCGAGTCTTCTTTTCCTCTCATCCATATTAATCTGATGTACAGACTTAAGCCTCGTCTGCTCAGAAAAGAAACAGATTTCAATCTTTAAACTATTTTTAGTGTAATAGAGGAAATAATGGTAGCGCAATGTTGCGTCTCGTGAAAATTCAAATTATCGAACTTGCGAGAGTGAATTTTTCACATTTTCTATCCCGTGAACACGAACAAAGTGTAAGGTTCAATATAACACAGTAGATAAATTTAAAAAATGTCTAGAGAACCACATAAAAATTAGTCGACTCGCGAGAAAGTTCGTCAATTTAATTGAAAAAAAAAAAAAAAAAAAAGCACGCGAGGAAGAGTACATCTTTCATTCGAGAATTAATGAATAAGGCATGAGTTGTGCGGTGGTACGTATATGCCCCCCTTCTATCCCGCCCGGTGCTCTCCGGAATCCGCACATCCCCCCATTGGTCAATGTCGCGATTTTTTTCCCTCTCACTCGCCGTGACAGTAGGAGAGATTACTTCATCCGTATCGAGTGGCATTATCGAGAGTCGATTTCTGGGAAGCTAGCGGTACCGACCTCACCGCCCGTCGCCACCGCCAAATCAACTCTAAGAGACGGAGGCGCATAACGGGAAAGCCCTCTTCTTCGCTTGTGCGGCGAAGTCGTGGCCGGAAGCTCGTTCCCGCCGTCGATATCGTCGTTTTCGTCGTCTTTATCGGGACGATTTTTCATTTCGCTTTCGTACGCGATCCCTCTCGCGGCTGTCGTTTGATTAGCGCGCGAAACCTGTTCAAAGCACGCGTCATTTCCTGCGATTTCTTACACGCGTAAGAAACAGATTCTCGCAGAAAAAAAATATTGTGATTTCACAAAAAAATTATTACAGAGATGTGATGAGAAACGTATTTTAACGTATAAGTAAAAAACAAACGTTTTTCTCCGGCTTTATATATTTATAGTAATTTATAATAAATTTGTTATAGAATCCGAACAATCAAGTCGTTGTTTTCCGAGACATTTTATTTTACGAACTGTTTTCGAAATTAGCATATCATTTACGTGTATCGTTTAGTTCTCAGCAAGAAAAGGTTGGCGAGGCTCATTTCTTATTGGACATCGCTGTTTTAGTTCTCTAAATCTTTTGTTCTCCGTTCGCGCGTGTTTGACCCCGGTTAAAACACTTGTTAAATTTAACAAATACACGTGTGTATTTCTTTGGTGTTAGTTTGATCTTGATCTCGAAATTTGTTGAAATCGCGATTCGCCACGAATCGAAAGGCAAGTCGACACAATCATCGCTCCGGACTTCACCAAAAAATCCGCTATGGATCAAAGTCGAGGCTGCAATGATTAGCAGCGAAAAATCTGATTATATTTTTTGTTCTTTTTAATTGGTTTTTAATTTAGTTTTTGAACGTGTATTCATTTGGCTTTAGAACACATATATGTGTAACTAAAACATGTATAAATAAAAAATTATTTAATAATTCTAATTCTTCTTATCATATTAATAAAATATATAATATCGAAATCGATATGACACTTCTATTCAAACGCTCAAAATATGTATCACTAATTCGTATAATAACGAGTTAATGAACTAAAAATATATAGACGGTAATAAAAGCCGGCTTTTGTATTTCTATATATTTCTAGTTTTTATCAACTTCAGAGCCTAAAGATTCTCTAACGAGTTCATGACTTACTTAACTGAGAACAATAAAAAAAAAAATACAACTAATTAATACGCGGCGAATTACTCATTTCTATGTTATTTTTGTTAGAGCAAGAATAAGTTAGAAAAAATAAAATTGATTATCATGAGATGAAGAAGCGAAGCTACATAGAAAATGAGATAACCGGCGCGATGACACACTTTTGTCAAGTGCTCTACGACTACGAAGGACGAATTGAAATAACACGACCAAATCTTCGGCCATTTTCCTGTTCTTACTTTACTGATTTATTTATGTCGTATCCGCTGTAACGGTGTTGATGTAACAAAGACAGAAAGTTTACGAATCAGAATAGAAAAGAATCGTTAAAAATGACACGACAGTTAGAAAGCGTAAGATAATTTTCTTAAATTGTAGAAAAATGCGAAAAACACTCAGTATGTGTCATCTATCGATCTGTGATCATCTTTATTTTTTATATCACGTTCTTATTTGCACACTCAAATCAGATATTGGCGTTTTCTCCTTGGAACGACATACAGTCCAGAATTTCGTGAATCGGCGGTTTATTTCTGGTAGATTTTGATGGTGGCACCGGGAGTCGATCTGGCTTTAGATAGATGTGTCAACGATAAAAAGTGTGGCATATATATTCCGTGCGGACCGATACGAAGGCAACCGAAAATCAAGGTTGCTCGGACTAGCAATGAATAAGATTCCGGTAGCGCGTGCGGTACCGGTCGCCCGTCTTTGCAGCAACTCGCTCGTCCTTTTGCTTGGATTTTGTAGGACAGTAAGGACACAGAGCTTCATCCGAAAGATGACGTGTGGAGAACCGCCATTCAAATTAATGTAACGTTACAAAGCTTCGTTTTTTTTTTTTTTTTCACCCTCGGCGCCATCCCTCGATGATCTTTGCAATAGTACACACGGAATACGGATGCGATTCCTCGTTTTTTTCGCCACGTTTTGATTCCGACGACATGCCGGCAATTTATGCGACTCCTGTTCGAGAACATATCGTATCGTACGTAAATAAACTCGATCTAAAAAATTTTCGCGTTATTATTCACAAATGTTAAATGTTTGTTTCGCTGTAAGCAAGGTTCTTTGTGTATTCGAGTGCTTCATTCATTTGCACCAGATTCGCCGAATATAGTTTCACTAGACTTACAGATCTCAACTATTTTGTAAAACACAGCGTTTCGTAAAGTTATTGCATTCTGTGGACCACGTCCGGCAGCAATTCGTCTAATAATCAACCCCCCGTGGCGAGAAATCGCTTTCTTTTTTAAATATATAATAGACGACTCGCCGAGAAACGAATCGCCGGAATATAAACGCGTGCAGATTAGCAAGCGCGCTGAATCGGTCGAATCGTATTTAGAAAGACACCGCGGCGCGGCGAGTTACGCAAGAAATTATTGAAAATGTAACGGGCATCTCTCCCGCCCTCCCGCCCTTCTCTCCGACACGCCGAGAGATCGGACATCATGCACATGCGAGATATCTCTCGCGCGAGGCGCGTCCCGCTGACGTTAATCTGCATGTAGCGGTCGTGCATTGCGCTCTAACGGTCAAGAGAGATGGCTTTTACGTAAGCGCGGATAAGCGCCGTCGCATAACGCGACGCGCAACGGGCCGAACAGATAATCCCGGTCGATGGATATGCCAATTGCAAAATTCGCGACGGATACATTTATGGAGAGGCGCGCGAGGACTTTTCTCGTTTGCACGCGCGTTTGGTCGCGCCGTGCCGCGCCGCGCCGGTGGTCTACGCGCACGCGGTGCGCGTCACGTTTCGCGCGGCTCTGGACCGCGCCGCGAATCGTTACGAGATGCGGTTAGACATGCTGATGCCGATCGAAGGTAAAAGTTTTTTACGTCTCGATCTAGACGCGGAAAGTCGTTTCTCTTTACGACCGGCGTTTTTTTCTGCGCGGAAATTAGTTTTTTTTCTTCTTTTTCAAGCGCAAACGGAACTTC